CTACAACTCCGACCAAAGAAGAGTAGCAGACAAAACTGATGAACGACATCAAGATGGCAAAGCTTACAGGCAGAATTAGAAACCAGGAAGAGGACCTCTTTAATAAAGAATGGGGAAAGTTTATAATTTAGTTGAAAAGCTATTATAAAGAGTTACATACCGTATTTTTCGCCCTATAAGACACACTTTTCCCCCTCCAAAAATGAAGGGGAAATGTGTGAGCGTCCTATGGGGCGAATGCAGGCTTTCGCTGAAGCCTGGAGAGCGAGGGGGGTCGGTGAGCACCGACCCCTCTCGCTCTCCAGGTTTCAGGAACCTATCCGCTAGCCGTGGGAGACCCAGCTCTCCCAGGGCTAGCAGAGACCTTGCCGGCACCCAGAAGCTTGGGGCGCGCTGAGCTCAGCACACCCCAAGCTTCAGGCTTAGCGCAGCGCACCTGGGGGGGAAATAAAAATTTTTTCCCTTTATTTCCCCCCCAAAAAACTAGGTGCGTCCTATGGGCCGGTGTGTCCTATGGGGCGAAAAATACGGTACAGTGGTGCCCCGCAAGACGAATGCCTCGCAAGACGGAAAAACCGCTAGACGAAAGGGTTTTCCGTTTTGAAGTTGCTTCGCAGGACGAATTCCCCTATGGGCTTGCTTCGCAAGACGAAAATACCTTGCGAGTCTTGAGATTTTTTCCGCTTTCCCCCTTTATCTAATCTGCTAAGCCTTTAATAGCCTTTAATAGCCTTTTAGCAGCTAATCCCTAAGCCTTTAAGCCTTTAATAGCCGCTAAACAGCTGATAGCGCTAATAGCGCTAATCCGTCAATGGGCTTGCTTCGCAAGACAAAAAAACCGCTAGACGAAGACTCTTGCGGAACGGATTAATTTCGTCTTGCGAGGCACCACTGTACATTGGTAGGATTGACAGAAAACTTGTAGTAAAAATTTGAACTATGGATGGACAAATGATTTATAAAAATAGAGTTATGAAAGGGATGCAGAGGGGGAAATCACTACATTAAGATGCTGCACTGGTTGGAGGGGATGCTAAGCAGCACGTCGGGGCTGCCGTCGTCCTGGCACGAGGAGTTCCATCGGCCCTTCCCCGCCCGAGAGAGAGGGAGGGAGGGAGGGAGACTCTCGCCCACGCCGCCCGCAAGCCTGGCATGAGGCCACTGAAGCGCCGCCCTTCTGTGTCCCTCCCCATCCCCTCCTCTTCCTCCTCCCTCAGGCCGCCTCCTCAGCCGCCGCCGCCTCCGGCTTCCCCTGGGAGCGCGGCGGAAGTCTCGCAAGAGAGGGGCTGCCTGCCCACCCGCCGCCACCCGTCTCCTCACGACGCACCCCTGAGGGGGAAAAGGGAGAGACGGAGACGCGGCAGCTCGTGCGCGTGCTCTCTCTCATGGCGGAGGACCCCGAGCCGCTGCTTCCCTCCCGAGCCGGGCGAGCATGAAACCCGGGAAATTTAAGGGACATCATCAATAAGGGACAGCAGCGGGACACGGCGCTGGGATAAGGGAGTTTCCCGCCAAATAAGGGACGGTTGACAGCTATGTCACAGCTCTTTCTCCCACCCACCAGCTGTTCACATCAGCACGACTTCATTAGTGTCAGATTCACCTCTGCTGTGTACCAAGGGGCATTGAGGGGGTGTCTTTACCCAATGCAAAGATGCTCACACCATGGCTAAAGATGAATTAGAAACAGCTTAAGGACTCCAATCCGTCTGTAGCTCTTTTGAGAAACAACACACCAAATGGTAGTATTTTAGAACAAAATACACTACATGCAAGCATTTTGGATAAGGTAACCTGTGAACTAGGATTAAAAACCCAGCACTAGAAAGTGAGGTGAGTGCACATTAAACCAGAGTATGAACACAGCCTCTGTTAAAGGAGTGAGGCAGTCTCTGCCTGGCTCCAGTGTCCCTGCCATTTCTTCTACAGAAGTAAATCCCAACTAGAATAAGTGCTGAATTTTGGACAGCTCTGACATTGTCACCAATAGGAATCATTCAGAGGATGCAGTATGTTTCTGTGCTTACAGGTTTACAGGGGTATTTGGAATCAGCAAGTCTTTCCCACCCACCTAACCTGCCATATTGACAAGCGTTATGGCCCTGTGAGCAGACCCACGAAAGCACACTTTGCCCAGGTCCTTTCGAACATGGAGTTGGGACTGTTTCTTCGTTGTTGTTGTTTAGTCGTTTAGTCGTGTCCGACTCTTCGTGACCCCATGGACCAGAGCACACCAGGCACTTCTGTCTTCCACTGCCTCCCGCAGTTTGAAGAAGAAGAAGAAGAGTTTGGATTTGATATCCCGCCTTTCACTCCCCTTCAGGAATCTCAAAGCGGCTAACAATCTCCTTTCCCTTCCTCAGCCCCAGTCAAACACTCTGTAGAGTGTTTGTGTGGGGCTGAGGGACTTCAAGGAGAGTGTGAGCTGGCCCAAGGTCACCCAGCAGCTGCATGTGGAGGAGCGGAGATCAAACCAAACTCTTCTGCTGCTTCTGACCCCATGGATTAGAGCACACCAGGCTACCACTCTTAACCACTACACCACACTGGCTCTTTGGTCAAACTCATGCTGGTAGCTTCGAGAACACTGTCCAACCATCTCGTCCTCTGTCGTCCCCTGCTCCTTGTGCTCTCCATCTTTCCCAACATCAGGGTCTTTTCCAGGGAGTCTTCTCTTCTCACGAGGTGGCCAACGTATTGGAGCCTCAGCTTCAGGATCTGTCCTTCCAGTGAGCACTCAGGGCTGATTTCCTTCAGAATGGATAGGTTTGATCTTCTTGCCAGTCCATGGGACTCTCAAGAGTCTCCTCCAGCACCAGAATTCAAAAGCATCCATTCTTCGGCGATCAGCCTTCTTTATGGTCCAGCTCTCACTTCCATACATCACTACTGGGAAAACCATAGCTTTTACTATACGGACCTTTGTTGGCAAGGTGATGTCTCTACTTTTTAAGATGCTGTCTAGGTTTGTCATTGCTTTTCTCCCAAGAAGAAGGCGTCTTCTAATTTCCCACTGGAAGCAATGGGACTAAATTTACAGCACAATCCTATGCATGTATCGCAGGGTTTTAGACCAGATCAGCCTCAGGGTCCCTTCCAACTCTACAATTCTATGATTCTATGTCTACACAGCCGTAAGTCTCATTGAATTCACCAGGACTGAAGCCTATGTAAACGTGTACAGTCTGAGTCGTGGCCAACTTGTTCCACCGGTGCTAACAGGAGTTAGGGGGAAATTGTTGTTGTTAACATTACAGTGGTACCTCGGGTTACGTACTTAATTCGTTCCGGATGTCCGTTCATAACCTGAAACTGTTCTTAACCTGAAGAACCACTTTAGGTAATGGAGCCTCCTGCTGTCGCCACGCCGCCGGAGCACGATTTCTGTTCCCATCCTGAAGCAAAGTTCTTAACCCGAGGTAATATTTCTGGGTTAGCAGAGTCTGTAACCTGAAGCGTATGTAACCTGAGGTACCACTATATTTTAACTCCTTTGCTTGTTCTTACAAATGGTGTGGAGGGTATAATCATTATAATTACATAACTGCAATCAGTTCTAGACATATCCACTCAGAAGTAAATTGAGGCTTAAGAACTGAGAGCTTTTCCAAATTAGCCAATCTGGAGTAAAGGGATATGGTTCTAGTGAATACTGCATGAATACTTACGCATCTTTTATGCTTTTGAATAGCTTAGAAACATTACAGTGATTCTTTGGGCTTGGTTTTTAGTTTTTGTATTCCATTGATCGTAACTAGCAAGCCATGTTGTCCAGGGAATGCTTTTGGAAATCAGAATTGCACAGCCTAATCACTGGTGTCCAAAGCACCAAGATGCCGTTTTTTATTTTGTGCCTATTGTTTCTTCCTTTAAGTAGATGGGGCTGGACTTGCAGCAGTCAAAATCAAACTGTCTTTACAGTAAAGTGTGAATTGTAAAGGTGAAAATCCACAATGATTTTAGTTTGGATAAAAATCGAGTTTTAACTTGGGTGGGTGATTTTATATTTGGAGGGTGGGATTGTTTTAAACTGTTGTGAAATGTTACAAGTTAATTTAGATTTCTGTATTTGGGGCTGGAGTAATGTTTAGGGGCTTTTGTTGGGGAGTGTATTGTTTATCAGTGTTTTGATTGTTTTTATTATGTTTTGATTGTTTTATTTTTATTATGTTTTTATAGTTCTCATTATGTATTTTGTGCTTTGATTATTTTTAGAATGCATTTTGTCCTTCATATATTGTAACTTTGTGTTGTGAACCATCCTGAGACCTACAGTTGTAGGGCAATATACAGAATTAATAAATAATAATAATGTTTGTTACAGCTTGATTTGTGCATCCTTTCCCAACTATAATAAAACAGGGGTTTTTTTGTTTGTTTGCTACTATCTGAGCATTTTCCCAAGGGGAACTCACAGGAACTCAGTTCTGGCACCTCTCAGGTGGGTTCCAGCATGTTTTCAGGTGAGTTCCAGCACCTCTCAGGTGGGTGCTATTGCCATTCTAAGAGAAGGAGGGAAGTATTCAAGGTGAGTTCCAGCACCTCTTTTTCTTGAAAAATTGCACTGGGTACTATGCATTTCTGTGTTTTTATGTTGTAAACTGCGCTGTAATCCTTGGATGAAGGGTGCCGGAAAAACTCTGGGCGGAAATCGCTTGAATATCCGGTATGTATGGCAACCCATGTTGGAAGCGTAGATTTTGGCAAATTTCCTTATAAATAGCTTGACATTTCTATTTTCAGATGCTGCAAAAAAAGCTCAACAACTTTGGGCAAAACTAAGAAAACCCCCTGTTATGAAGCATTCGGGTGGGACCGCCACCAAACCAACCCACCTGGAGAACAGGTGAGCAAGATGCGGCCTCCCTGGTCCACCCAGCAGCATCCTACCTGCTTGGAAGTAACTGGTGGTGATGCCCAGCGGCCTCTAGAGGCGGCAGATCCGCGCAGCCCAACTGCGAAAGGGCCTCCTCCGTCCCGCCCCCGGGAAAGGTACGAAGATGGCCGCGCTCGCCGCCGACGCGGAGGCCGGGCTGGAGTCGGTGTTCCCGCAGGAGCTGGGGCTCTTTGCAGATGCTTTCCCGGTAGAGGCCCGTTACCGGTTCTGCGGGCACGAGCTGAGCATCGCGCAGCACCACGGCGCCCAGCTGGGAGTGGCTGCGCCGGTTTGGGAAGCGGTGAGTAGTCCGGGCGCAGCTGGATCCGTCCGGGGCCAGAGATTTGCACGAGGCTTGGAGGAAGGGCTTAGTAGCGCAGCCCTGTGCAGGTCTACTTGGAAGTAAGCCTCGCGGAGTTTAGCAGGGCTTACTTCCAGGTAAGCGTGCATAGGGTTGCAGGCAGCTATTGCTTCAGGTAGATCTTGGCACATCCGTGCACTTCTTAAAACAGGTAGAAATCTTGCCGTTGCATATTTACTGTTTTCTAAGTGGTCGCCTCTGAGCTTTTTTTTAATGGCATGCATCCAGGCTCAAGCAATAATCTCCGCAGGAACTTTTCGGCGCATCTCTTGCACAAGCCTGCCCCAACGTGCCTGTTTCGAAAGGGGCGAAGCAGTCTGCACAGAAAATAGATCTAGGCAGGGCTTCCCAAACTTGGGTCGCCAGCAGTTTTGGGACTACAACTCCCAGCATCCCTAGCTAGCAGGACCAGTGGTCGGGGATGATGGGAGTTGTAGTCCAACAGCTGGAGACCCGGTTTTGGATACCCTGGTCTACGCTGTTGACTTTATAGGATCTAATCTGCACATGCAGTAGAATTGAGGACTTGTTATTGTTGTCAGCATATAATTACTATTACTATTCAAACTGAGCAGCCGACAACAAACAAATGCTGCCAGCCTCCTTCTTTTCCCTGCTCCTACTTTGCCTTCCTCTTAGCAAAGAAACTCTTAAAGCATCAAAAAAATGTAAGCCTGCAAGTTTTCCCTGCAAGTACAATAATTGCTGCTTGATGTTGATGGTTTGGACTATGGTGATCAGTGCTGTGGCACAAAGTAAAACATTTAGACCAGCCTTTCTCAACCTCTCTGTGGCTCAGTCTACACCACAGTTTCCCAAACTTGGGTCTCCAGATATTGATGGACTACGGCTCCCATCATCCCTAGCTAACAGGACCAGTGGGCAGGGATGATGGGAACCGTAGCCAAAAACAGCGGGAGACGCCCAAGTTTGGGAAACCCAGCAAGAAAATAAAGACTGGTGCATGTGCGTATGTATGTTCTGTAATGTGAAAGTGTTGCTTTAGTTCCTCTAAAAAGGGCAGCTGCTTTTTGGTCTCCTGTGAAGCAGTGCTAGATTTAGGGAGGTGTGGGTGGTTCCCTTGCACAGGGTGCTGAGCTGAGGGGGCACAAAATAATAATAATAATAATAATAATAATAATAATGACAGTAATAATATTTTTAAAAAACCTATATTGATACAGAATAAAAAGAATTTTAAAAGAACCGAATAAAAAGCCAACTTTATCAAAAGGAATTATTGCAAAAATGAGAAGTATTTTTTTTGGGGGGGAGTGCCAAATTTTGTCCTCGCTAAGGGTGCCATATCACCAAAGTCCACCCTTGACATGAGCATGAGATGGACCTCTGTTCAGTGCAGGCTGCTCTGCTGTTGAACTTCATCTTTTCCTTCCTCATTACAGCAGCATCTTAATCCCTAAATGTCAAATGCTTCACAGGTACAATTACAATTCTTCCCTACTCCACTGCATACATTGGCAGACGTTGTGAAATAATCCCGTTGTCAGCAGGGACACTAATAATAATAATAATAATAATAATAATTTATTTAAACCCCGCCCATCTGGCTGGGCTTCCCCAGCCACTCTGGGCAGCTTTAAACAAAATATTAAAATACAGTAATGCATCAAACATTAAAAGCTTCCCTAAACAGGGCTGCCTTCAGATGTCTTCTAAAAGTCTGGTAGTTGTTGTTCTCTTTGACATCTGGTGGGAGGGCGTTCCACAGGGCGGGTGCCACTACCAAAAAGGCCCTCTGCCTGGTTCCCTGTACCTTGGCTTCTCGCAGTGGGGGAACCGCTAGAAGGCCCTCGGCGCTGGACCTCAATGTCCGGGTAGAACGATGGGGGTGGAGACGCTCCTTCAGGTATACTGGAGGTATACTGGCCTACTAGTCCTGTTGTCAAAGGTGGAATGGGAAAGTTTGCATCACCTACAGATGTGCTTGGCATACTGAATGTATCCTTGGGATCTTTAATTCACTCCTCATTTACTCTTCATTCTCTCTCTCTCTTCCCATGTCTAAGGCTCTAACCCTCTGCGAGTATTTTGAGGCACAGAAACTGAATTTCTGGGGCAAGAAGGTTATAGAACTGGGTGCTGGGACGGGCGTTGTGGGCATCCTTGCAGCCCTTCTTGGTATGTAGGATCACTTATTGATTATTTATTTGTTAAATTTATATACCGCCCTTCATCCAAAAATCTCATGGTTGATTCACAGCATAAAGATGCAAGATAAAGTCACAACACAAAATAAAAACAAAAGCAACCGATAATCCGCCCCTCTCCCACAAAACACATTTAAAAGGACATAGAAAGTTATTCAGCCGAAGGCCTGGTTCAAGAGGAGCGTTTTTGCATGGTGTCTAAAGTTGCGTAAGTGATGGTTGCAGGTGAGCCTCGCTGGGGTGAGCATCCCACAAATGGGGAGCCACCACAGAAAAGGCCCCTTCTCATGTTGCCATCCTCTGGACCTCTCGTGGAGGAGGCACACAAAGAACGGCCTCAGGTGATGATCGCAGGGTCTGGTTTGGTTCATATGGAGAGAGGCGGTCCTTGAGGTATTGTGGTCCTGAGCTGTTTAAGGTTTCATAGGTCAAAACCAGCACTTTGAATTGGGCCTACTTGGCAGCCAGGGCAGTTGGGCCAGGATTAGTGTAACGTGTTCAGACTGTCTTCCCCAGTGAGTATCCTGGCTGCGAAATTCTGCACCAGCTGAAGTTTCCAAACCATCCTCAGAGGCAGCCCTACATATAACACATTGCACTAATCTAACCTTGAGGTTACCAGAGCATAGACAACAGTAGTTAGGCTATCCCTGTCCAGTTAGGGGTTCAGCTGGGCCACCAGCCAAAGCTGATGGAAGGCACTCCGGGCCACTGAGGCCACCTGAGCCTCAAGCAACATTATGAGTAATGCACATGGTACCAAACTGAATTTGTTGCTAACAGTTTCCTTTCTTCCAGGCGGTGATGTGACCATCACAGATCTTCCTGTGGCCATGAAGCAGATAGAGGAGAATGTCCGCCGGAACGTGCCTGCAGAATTCGCAACACGAACCAGAGTTTGTGCTCTGTCGTGGGGTGTGGACCACAAAGAGTTCCCCCCAAATTATGACTTCATCCTGGGTGCCGATATTGTCTATCTCAAGCACACCTACCCCTTGTTGATCAGGACTCTCCAGCATCTATGTGGTGCTCAGTCTATCATCTACCTGTCTTCCAAGATGCGTCAGGAGCATGGTACGGCGCTGTTCTTTGAGACGCTGCTGCCTGTGCACTTCGCCTCAAAGCTGGTCTTTAGAGATGAGGTTGAGAATATTAATATCTACAAAGTGACCTGCAAAAGTGACATCAGACAGTGAGCTTCTTGGTTTACCAATGCGTGTAGCAAACACTGCCTTTACCTACCGTATTTTTCGCTCTATAGGACGCACTTTTTCCCCTCCAAAAATGAAGGGGAAATGTGTGTGCGTCCTATGAAGCGAATGCAGGCTTTCGCTGAAGCCTGTAGAGCGAGAGGGGTCGGTGCGCACCTACCCCTCTCACTCTCCAGGCTTCAGGCAGCTATCCGCAAGCCTTCGGAGCCCGGCGGGAGTTCCCGCTGGGCTCTGAAGGCTTGCGGATAGCAGCAAGCTCCGGGAGCGGCGGCAAGGTTGCGTGCAACCTCGCCATCACTCCCGGACCCGTTCTGGGGGCTGGGGTCAGAGGAAGCTTGGGCTTCCCCCACCCCCGTCCCGGCAAGCTCCAGGAGCGACGGCGAGGTTGCGCGCAACCTCACCTCGCCATTGCTCCCGCACCCGTTCTAGCCCCCGGGTAGAAACGAAGCCAAGACAGCTAGCGGGATCCATCCCACTCTGTCTTGGCTTCTGCCAAAGCTGCGCGCAGCCTCTCCCGGCTGGAGAGGTTGTGCGTGGCTAAAGAGGAAGCCAAGACAGCCAGCAGGATGGATCCCACTCGCTGTCTTGGCTTCTTTGCTCTTTGGGGCTGGGGGGGGGGAGGAAATAATTCCCCCCCTTTATTCCCCCCCCCAAAAAAAAACCTAGGTGCGCCCTATGGAGCGAAAAATACGGTATTTTTTTTTAAAACAACAACAACAGAGTGTTTTTAATCCAGAAGTCTGGGGGCATTCATCTGTAGTAACTATTATCCAGAGTTCTCTATCCATCAGCAAATGGTAATACAGTGGTACCTCGGTTTTTGAAACATCTCCATTGATGAACATTTCGGTTTGTTTTCGAACGATGTAAAGCTGGAAGTAAATGCTTCGGCTTTCAAACACTTTTCGGAAGCTGAACATGCCATCTGGCTTCCATATTGAGCTTTCGGTTTTTGAACATCTCAGAACTCGAATGGTCTTCTGGAATGGACTACATATGAAAACTGAGGTACCACTGTATTTGTAGTAACTTATCATTGCTGGACTGTTGCAGTAAGAAAATCCCAGTACAGTGGTGCCTCAGGTTACATACGCTTCAGGTTACAGACTCCGCTAACCCAGAAATAGTACCTCAGGTTAAGAACTTTGCTTCAGGATGAGAACAGAAATTGTGCTCCGGCGGCGCAGCAGCAGCGGCAGGAGGCCCCATTAGCTATAGTGGTGCTTCAGGTTAAGAACAGTTTCAGGTTAAGAACGGACCTCCAGAACGAATTAAGTACTTAACCTGAGGTACCACTGTATACATGTGAAAGGTCATGCTCCCTCAAAAGGCAATATTTTCTGAGAGAGATATTGCGATGATGATGATGATGATGATGATGATGATGATGATTATTAGCATACTGTCCTACATCTGTCAATCTCAGGGCAGTGTCCTGGTTGTGGGCTTCCTGGTGACATCTGGTTGGCTACTGTGAGAACAGAATGATGGCCTAGACAGATGTTTGTTCTGATCCATCAAGCTCTTCCTAAGTGTTCATGTGACATGCATTTCCATTCTGTTCCCTAGCTATGTCAGGGCAGTACCATCCCCACTGCTATGATTCTCAAGGCCTTCAAAAGGCTTCACTGATCACGGCCACATTGTTTGTTGTGAAAAAGTGACACGTTAGTGAAGGCTACTGAACCATTCCTGCTTTGTTCCAGCCTTCCTGGAGCGCCCAGCCATGCGCCTCGGCTTACGGTCACATGTTCCGCCAAACAAATCCCAGTTGGTAAGCCGGGAGCAAGCGTGGTAAGCCAAGCTTCAGTTTGTTGCTCCAGGGATGGTGGAACAAGAATTGGAGCAATTCGGCAGCATTCGCTTGTTTCTGATTTACCATGATACACGAATGAGTCCATTCCTAGGTAAATGCAGAGGGATGTGGGTGGTGCTGTGGGTTAAACCACAGAGCCTAGGGCTTGCCGATCAGAAGGTCGGCGGTTCGAATCCCCAAGACGGGGTGAGCTCCCGTTGCTCTGTCCCAGCTCCTGCCAACCTAGCAGTTCGAAAGCACCTCGAAGTGCAAGTAGATAAATAGGTGCTGCTCCGGCGGGAAGGTAAACGGCGTTTCTGTGCGCTGCTCTGGTTCACCAGAAGCGGCTTAGTCATGCTGGCCACATGACCTGTATGCCGACTCCCTCGGCCAATAAAGCGAGATGAGCGCCACAACCCCAGAGTCGGCCACGACTGGACCTAATGGTCAAGGGTCCCTTTACCTTTACCTAGGTAAATGCAGAGATAAATCTGGAGCTCTGTGCACAGGAGAGCAGGAGCTCCAGAATGTGATCTGGCTGACAGGAGTTGCTTACTTCTTTACCCCTTTGGTGTAATATTTTGCAAGTGTGTGGCATCTGTGGCACCAAGCAGAGAAGGCATGCGTTCTCGGATGTGCCCTTAGATTTAATGTGTTTGGCACTCTGGTATTCTTTTCTAAGTGAAATTTGTAAAACTACTTTTTTTACCTTTAATAATGATCCTGGTTTAAAAAAGAAAATATTATTTTAGTAACTCCAGGGCAAGGGACCTGAATCATTACACAAGTGCATTACACTAAGATGCCTTTTCTCATTTTAAGAGATGCTTTTTTAAAATGACAATTTTGTGATTGCTTAAAAAGATGGATATATCATTTCTACAAGGATAATGTTATCTTTTTAAAGATGGCTTAACATCATACATGCCTATGCACTATGTATTTCTATTTTGCACTAAGGTACTATCTCATCAATTTCCTGATTATATAAATTATCAATAGGTAGCATTTTTAGGGACCCTGGTTTCAGTTCAATTTGTATAATATCTTAAGGAAGCTATGCATGTAAATACTCTGGGTAAGATTTTACTCAACATGTGAATTACAGAAGCTATTTAAAGTAATATTCTATGTTTCCATTTTCTAAAAAAAGTAGGGTTAGCAAACGTCCCCCATTTCCAGGGACAGTCCCCAGATTCACAAATCTGTCCCCGGAATGTCCCCGGATTTATGCCTCGGGACTTCCGGAGAGGCAACATATGGGCGTCATGGCAGCGAGCAACACCACGTCATGGCAGCGAGCAACACCACGTCAGAGTTCCAGCCAGCCAATCCGCTGGCTGGGGGGGGGCTATTTAAACCGAAGCGCGAGCCAGAGAGGTTCTTTCTGACTCACTTCATTGATCAACACTCGCCCCGAAATCGCTGCGCTCTTCTGCTGCAGGCTCTGCGCGCCCGAGTTGGGGGGGGCGAGAGAGGTGCTGAGGTGGTGAAAAAGAGGAGGAGAAGCATAGAAAATAGCTATGTCGCATTGCGAGACAGAGAGACACCACCGCCACCAGTTAAATCTCTATAGAGACTGCACTCTCCCTCCAGCGGTCTCCCAGTTATGGGAAGCCGGTGCCTTGTGTGTGTGTTTTAATGCGTGTTTTCCCAAGACCAGCAAGTGCCTTTACTCAATCTCTCTCCACCACCCCTTTTTTTTGGCGTTTGTGTGTTTGTAGACGGGCTTCTCCACCTGACTTGTGTCGAGGTGCGCACCCAACAACTTTGGCATCCCCCCCCCAAAAAAAAACTGTGGGCAACCCTTTCCTAAAATAAAGCATGAAATTCCCAAAAAAAAGGGTCCCCGGATTCCTTGAAAAAAATCTGGTAACCGGAAAATTCACACAAGATTATTATTATTATTGGTGTTTATCGGCTTAAGGAGACTATCAGAAGAGATCATAAAGAAAAAAGAGAAAATATATAAACAAGATGTGATGTGGAAACAGCAAGATAAGACTGGATAGAATTATGAACTCTGTTTGGACTGATTTGGACATTAACGCAGTAGCAAGAAGATGATCAGAATCCCCCTTCGGATCTTGAAATATGGGTCCCCCCAACAAAATTTAAAATTCGGCTTTGTAATTCGGAATTTATGTGATGTGATTTAATTTGATTTGATTGGCCGGTTAATAAAAATTATTTTTTAAAAAAATCAAAAAATCTGGTAACCATATTTTAAAGTGTCTCAGAGCTGCATCCTTGAGACCATTAGGATTTATAGATGATTAGCTGAAGGGATGTTTCTGTGCAGTACATGGTTCCCTCGTCTTGTCTGTCCGTTATTTAATTGCTTGTATTTCTAAGCACTTACTACAGTATAGTGCTTCTTAAGTTATCAAATAACTTTGCATATATTACATCATTAGTCCTTACAATGACCCTGTAGAGTAGATTAGTCCTGATCTTTCTGTATGACAGCAGAGAGTGAGGGAGCATGCTGAACAACAGGCTTCCCAACCCATGCTGTTAATCATGGATATGGGAAGTGCAACATTGCTCAGTTGCCGTGCGCCTGATGCTCTTGCGGTCCAGAAATAGTACAGAGGAAAGGCATATGAAACTGCAATTGTGGAATGAACCATCTCCAGAAACCACAACCTCAAAAGCTTGCTTAACGTCTCTTCCACATATGTGGATACAACCAGTGCAGCCAAACCAGGATAAGCTTGCAAGGATAAGGACTGATTAGCTTGCAAGACAATCAGGTTATGTTTAATTGCTATGGAAAATGCAAGCTAAAATATATGATGGGAGTGGAAGTAAAGAGAAAGGTGGGTGGTCTTCCAAAAGCAGGTCTTCTGTATGAAAACACACACAGAGAGCCTGTGTGCAACCTATGTTGCAGGTTGGGGTGGGGAAGAAACCAGCGGCTAAGAGAGGAGATGACTTAACACAGTCCAAAATGTAGTCTTGTATCACCCCCCCCCAAAAAAACTGGGGCTGCTTATAGTGACGCTTCCCAGTAGTTCAGTGTTATCAGCGTTGCCAGCCCACCCATGGAGCAAGGTGAGGCGACTGCCTCAGGCAGCAGGATCCACATGGGCAGCAGATCTTTACCCTCACCCCTTTTTCCTGACGTGGATCTTCACTCATCCCTTCTCCCCTACAGGGGAGGGGGGAGCCATTTTGTGCCAAAATGTCTTGGGCCAGCCCTGGGCATTAGGTATATTTGTTTTTTGTTTTTAAATGATATTTATTGAAAAAAGGATTTTCTACAAAATTTTATACAAAAGAAAAATAAAATAAAAATAATAATAAAAAAAACATCATTCTCAAATTCTCCACTTTCAATACCTTCTTTCCTTGACCTCCTCCTCCTCCCTTTTCCTGTATCCTATTTTATAATAATCACAGCAAATCCTTTCCATAATTCATAATATTCTGTCATCACATTACCTAAATCTATTTTCATCTTCTCTTATAAAAAAAAAAAAACTTTAGAGTTTAAAACTTAAGTCTTAATTTTTTATCAACTTCTCCTTAACCATAGCATTCTTGCCTAATTCTTTTAACATTTTTATAAGAGCCAAATAATTTCATTTCAGCATTTTGCTAACATATTTGATATTTGACGCAGGGTGTCCATCTTTTTGTACAATGACCCCAGGGTGTTCAGTGGTGCTTAAGGGAGCTGCAGTGGAAATGAAGCCAGCGGGGGATATAAGGACGGCTTCCACCAAAAACACTCGGTCTGCAGCAAGAATAAGGCTGCAATCCTAGACCCCATTGAATTCAATGGGTCTTACTTCTGAGTAGACCTGGTGAGGGTTGCACTGAGAAGCCGCCTCAGCCCTTCCACTCTCACTTGGACTCGGAGGCGCGGCCTTTGCGCAGTTCTCTTTTCTATCACTGCTGCATTATAAATACATATATCTTTGGATTGCTTTTAACACAAGGGGAAACTAGAGGTCCGAAGCAAACCCGGAATCTGAAACGTTGAGCGCTGCTCTATCGGTTTCATTCTCCTCGGCGCCATCTTGACCCCACCCCCCAGCTGCTACAGCCAATGGCGTGCCGTCGCGCGAACTAGAACCCGGCAGGCAGGCCGGATGGGCGGAAGTGACGAGCGGCACCGCGCGTGCGCGGCCTCAGCCAAAAGGTCGCGTCGCGCGCGTAGTGACGCATAATGGCAAGCGCCTTGAAGATGCAGCGGATGGCTGGGCTGGCAAGGGCGCTGGTGCCCTTGCGGAAAAGGGGTTCTCTAGCCGGGCAAGTGAGTGCGAAAGTCTTTCTTTGGGCGTCGCTGCCTCTGCTTCTCCCTGCTTAGAGCCGTCTCTGTCGTCTAGGGCAAGCACGGGGAGGGCACGGAGCGTGATGATGGAGCTCAAGCTCGCGGGGTCTGCATTTTAATTTAATTTAATTTATTCATAAAATTTAATAAACCTCTAAATCATGAAAGCAGTTCACTCAAAAAGGAAAAACGATTAAATCAAAGGGGAAGGGAAAAGTCAAAACCACACTTTAAAAACCGCAAAAAAAGTTAAAATACTACAACAGAGGTTTAAATTCACACCAGCATTTATAAGCACCTGGGTGGGCAGTGTCTAAACAAGAGTGGTTTCTCGCAGGTGCCAAAAAGAGTTCAATGAAAGTGCCTGCTTGATAGCTGTGGTTACAACATACAGAGCGCAAGCACATTCAAGGACTATGTAATATATGAACTCAAACAAGAATGTATTAAGATTGAAAGAAATATACAGTGGTACCTCGGGTTACATACGCTTCAGGTTAGAGACTCTGCTAACCCAGAAATAGTACCTCAGGTTAAGAACTTTGCTTCAGGATGAGAACAGAAATCGGGCTCCGGCGGCGCGGCAGCAGTAGGAGGTCCCATTAGCTAAAGTGGTGCTTCAGGTTAAGAACAGACCTCCAGAATGAATTAAGTACTTAACCCGAGGTACCACTGTATCTGCATTGGATTTAATTAATAGGTTATATACCTTGCTTAAGGATTGTATATGGTGTACATCCTGGACTTGATTTGTATGTTAGGAAGTAACCAGTAAAGAAATTTGTTACAAACATTACCATTCAGCCAGTTGCGCTCTATATGTTGTAACTATTGCATCTGCGTAACAAGGCATTGCATTTGTTTTGCTTGATAGCAGTAGGCGGGGACTTCAAAAGTTTAAAAAGAGTTCAATGAAAGTGTCTGCTTGATAGCAGTTCCAAAGTTTAGGTGCTGACACACTAAACAATCGCGTTCTTTCATATGCGGGGTGGGAGTTATGTGGCACCTGTACAGTTTGGGGTTCCTGACTCCCGAAGACCACTAGCTGGAGCACAGTGCAAAATAGTGGTCAAGAAAGGGGCTGGACGTGCATGTAAGACTAACGAGCAAGGCACGTGTGAGTGTATCTTAAGACAAAAATTTGTTTTCTGTGTCAGAGATTGCAGCACACAAACATCTGTTACTGATCCCCCACCCCAAAGTTCTTAATTTAGCATCTTAATGGGAGGGGGTGTGGTCAAGATGTTGCTGCTATTAAACAATTAAGAGTCAAAAGTGCTGAGCTGGCAAGTGCATGTGTAGATCCTTGGGAATGCGTCTTCCCCAGAAAATAGCCCTTAAAAGAGGTAGTTGCACCAGAACTTACTCTGATTCTATGCATATATTTGGAGAAAGGGTCTTGTGAGATTAGTGGTGCTGACACCCAAGTAAGCATGTGTGGGGTTGCTCTTTAAATCTTCCTCTGCTCCTTGGTTGTTGGATCCTTTTCACTTATTTTTGTCTTGCTCTCCCCTTGTAGTTTGACTTGCATCTAGTTCGTTTCCTTCATGCTGGCCTTCCAGTTCTAGCAGCAAAAGAAGCTCTGGTGAAGCTCAGAAAGAAAACTGGCTACTCGTTTGTGAACTGCAAGAAAGCCTTGGAGAAATTTGATGATGTCAGTGAGGTGAGAACAAATGTTTCAGTGATATAAAATGCAAGTTTAATTTTAGTTTTTTGCCTGAGTGTTTCAAGTACTTTCGGGGAAATAATGGTGTTGTAAGCAATTTTTGCAAGTCTTATGTTAAGGTTGCAGTCCAATGCATACTGGCAGCGGGGTAAATCACATTGAGATGTGGTTGCAAGTGAGTTTAGAGGCCAGAATGTTTTATCCTGTGTGTCTTCAGTCAGTGTAGGCAAAAGGTAAAGACTCTTTTCTTGCTGCTCACAAAAAGACAACCAGGAGATGTTTCCATGTCAGATGAATTATTGTGAAGAAGAAGAACTTGGGGAAGGAACCCAAAAGTTCAGGGAAAAACAAAATGCATTGTGATTCATAAAAACACTGTGCATTTCAAAATGTGTTTCAGTCAGTGGGAATTGCTTCCAAATAAACAGCTAACTCTTATCTTTGGTCAGACAGAGAAACCTTAGTAAACTGATGATACCTTAACAACACTCTCTGTGAATGGCACCAGAGGAGGGGCCAAAACAGTATTAGTTTAGCCTCCTGTTGGAAGTAGATATGGATTCTGTGACTTCTAGAACCTGCAATGGATCTTATCAGCATATTTCTAATGGTTGATCTGAAGTTTATATTTACACGCAAGGATGCCAATGGACCAAATATTTTTATATTCTTACATTCTCCTTTCCATCTGCAAGACATTTAAAAAATAAAATATATGAGGCCATATTTATAATAATATTTGAACATCCCCCATTTTATTCTACAGTGGTATAATACTGGGAGAATACTTGTGCTTTTATTTGGGGTTTGAATTGATTTGTTACGTTGTCCTTGGCAATAGTATCTCAGTTTATGGGTTTGCATTTGTCTTTCAAGGCTGAAGCCTGGCTACATGAGCAAGCCCAAAAGGAAGGATGGAGCAAAGCTTCCAAACTGCAAGGGCGGAAGACACAAGAAGGGCTTATTGGGCTGCTGCAAGAGGGAAGCTCTGCAGTGATGGTAGAGGTGAGCATTTTCCTTTTGACAAAAACTTTTTTTAAAAAATAAAAAAACTACTTTTTGTTTATTTAAAAAAGAACATACACTTTAATAACACACAGCAACAAAGAAACACAACTGAATGTAAGGTAATATTAAACATAACACATATATGCAAAGTACAAATTTGGATTGTTTCATTCATTTTCCCTAGAAAAAAGTTATTGTTATTGGTGCTGAGGGGTAGTAACATTTTTTAAAGATTACTTTTTAAAATAAATATCAGGATATTGCCCTCGAGATCTTACGAGATTTCTTGTTTAAAACTGAGAAGTTGCTAAGAATTCTAAATGGTAGCATATTTCACAGGAGGCATTTGACCATTGTTATCATCATTAAATTTTTGCCATGTTGCTGAAGATAATCTTTTTTGTTTGCCCTCCTGTATATCTTAATTTTTGAGTTAATTTTTCACCCACAGCTATGGACCATAAATCCTCCTCTGATCCCTCTAAATATTTCTATTTTCTTATGATAACCATTCTAGCAGCTCACAATACATACAGAATCAATTCTTTGTCCAAACAGAACTCATTGATAATAGAAAGTCAGTTTGCTGTTGGAGCAAAGAATGTATTTGGGCCGCTCAGGTGTAATTCCCGCATGACTCTACGAAAAGCATAGCTACGTGAGCCTATTCTTTTAAGAACTGACATTTCACATTATTCCTCAGAGCAAACATGGCTCTTTGGGAGACGTGCCTCTGGGGGTTTGTCCTGCGAGTGCCTGCTCTTGAGAAAAGCCCTGTTGTTTAGGCTTACCATGATGGATCAGGGCAGATCTGAAAACACAAGTGCTTCCTTCTGTGTCTCCTAAACCAATTTCGGCAAGCAGCCCTAAAAAGTACCCTGGAGAATCAAGGTGGGAAACCCTGCAGTAATTCTCGCCCAACAGCGGGAATGTGTTTATTTCTGTGCCATTTGCACCAGTTCACAGAAGTGTTTTAAGCTGCTGTTTTTTCGTCCCCTTTGTGGCTATCTTGGGTATCTTGGCATTAAATAAAGGGGATTCAAAGGATGCTGCTGCCTCTTGCAAAGGATATTCTGCCCAACAGTTCATGCCCAAGGGGACCAAGCTTGCTGCCTTCTTGTCAGTGTGTGTTTGCACTTTCTCTTACACCCAACCCAGAGGAAACTACTGCAGGATCTTTTCAGCAGTAATTTCATACCACACTGTCACTGCTCAAGTGCAAAGATCCCACAGGGGCAGGGGCACCTCTAGCAGTAGTTTCAGTGGTAAACCTGCTAGTGTGACTACATGGGTACAAGAGTTCAAATCATTCATAGAGAAGACTTTATTTGATTGAAAGACAGCTTTTTTGTGGCTGCCTTAAAAACTTAGTTGTACTGGCTTTGATTTTAGAATTGGTTTAGGACAGGGCTTAGGTGTGGAACCTGTGTTGCTGGACTACAACTCCCATCATCCCTGGCCACTGCCTATGCTGGCTGATGGGAGTTATAGCACAAGAGCATCTGGAGGACTGCAGGTTCCCTACCCATGGTTTAGGGATAACATCTGGCTGGCTCAGTTTAGGACATGGATATTGTTTCACTAGTGTGGACAATTGTCCCAGGCCTGTCTTCTCTCACATTCCACCCAATTAATTTTTTGGGAGGGAGTAGGGAATTGTTAATAATGGATGTGCAGACTCTTGGGAAGTTAAGGATGTGGTTGCATGTCCTAATGTGCATCCCATTGAAAGTCATGGACACCATTCACATGCCATTGTGCTTTTGATTTTATGTCCCCTATTCCAAAAAAAGAAGACTATGTGGAGCACGCTGAGTTTCTGTGCGTGTCCCATGTCCAAGATTGTGGAGTGAAAAAATGTATAATTTTATGATAGCAAAAGGACTGGTGTCTCACATTCCTAATATTTTCGAAAAAGACTAGCGAGCGAGCAAACAATGATTTTCTTATGGACAAGAAAACAATGTGATGGAGGCAAGCAGATTAAGAAGCTGCAGGGAATTATAGAGAGGTTAGCTTCATTTGCATTTCTGAGAAAGTATTGACAAAATTAAACTGTAGAAGGACACCTAGTGAATATGAACAAACAATATAGATGTGTTAAGAATAAATTATGCTACGCCAGCATATTATCTTACAGAAATCACACAGCAATCAAGATTGCTTGCTAGATCTTCTTGATTTCCTAGCAGCCTCTGAATGTTAATGTAAAGATTTTTGCTAAAATGTTGCCTTCATGCTGATATGCTGCCTGAAAATGAATGGGTAAAATTATATGCTTAATGGGAATATCCATGTGTTCATCAGTAGTTTGATGCTTTACGACACAAATCTACAGAAGTAGAGAAGGGCACCTGAGTGGTTTGCAGGGATATTTTCATTCTCGGATGACAAAATCAATGAAGACTAATTTTAGTATTAAAATGCACACCCTAGCGTGGGGGAGGGGTGTTAAATGGAACAGAACCAAAGCTGTAGCCATTTTTATTTTATTTTCAAAAATATCTATACTGCCAACAGTATGGGGGGGGGGAATAGGGCAGCGGATAGTACAAAATTAACAATAAAAATACAGTCATAAAACAAATTGAAAATACATAACAAATAATTAGATCAGGTTAATACATCAGCAGAGCTTGGATCCCCTCTCAGGGAAAGCCTGGATGAAAAAGTTGGGTGCCTTATCTTCCCCGCCTGTGCTTTTGGAAAACAAGATGTCATCTCATCCTCTAATTGCCACTTCTGATTTTATTCCTGCGTCTTGAGCACCATAGAAGTCGGTGACCAAGACAGTTGAAAGTTAGCTATGCTTCTTTGCCAGGTGAACTGCGAGACTGACTTTGTGGCCCGAAATGTCAAGTTCCAGCATCTGATTCAGCAGGCAGCGATTGGAACGATGGTACATTATCAAGGGACCAGGGACCAGCTGAGCCCCTACGCCAAGGTGAGAGTGGCACAAAAGGCTCCATAGCTTAAAACTCCTGGCACATTTTAATAGCAGTTACCAGAGTTGTGCACTTAAGTGCAAAGTGCACCTTTCTGCTGAATGAATCTTAATAAGCAAATTACACAAAGGGAGGTCACAGAATCGTAGAGCTGAGGGGGGATAGAGAGGCTTGTTCCACTGTTTCTGACCAGACCTGGTAGGTTAATTCCCACAAAAAGCTCCCAGGAAGCTTCTGCGGGAGTAAAAAGCACTTTTAAGGGATGTTCTGTTTGTCTATGCTGTCCCTTTGCCACAAACTGACCCCAGTACATCTGGGTTCTGAGGAAGATTGCCTTGGCTTAGATTGAAATAACTGGGGAAAGAGTACTTTGGGGCTTTTCATCTGCACCCCTTCAAGAGGACTGTGAGTTGCTGTTCCTGTGTGCTTGCCGACAGACAGTTGTCATGAGTGCAGACACTTTGTTTAGCTGGAAACATACTTTAAACAGCAAGTGAGGGAAACTTGTGTCTGCATGCATGTTCGGAAGTCCAGGTTGGCTTGAGGCTCCACACTGAGTGCGTTTTCGAGTGGCAAACCAGCAGCTATTGCTGCATTTGTAGATCGAGTCTCACTCTTCTCCTCCCCAGCCCCCCAAAACCCATTTTAGCAGTTGCCTAAACAGCTTTTCTAATTAACTGTGAAGGTTATAAATCTCGCTGTGCATATCAAGAGAAGTGCTTGATAAGTTTGTAGATTTATAATGCACAATATACTTATTTTGCAGTGTTTCTTAAACTCAAATGAGCTTTCTCAGCTCCGGATAGGACCCGATGGCTCCTTGCTTGTGGACCAGCTGGCTCTGGCTATTGGTGAGTGTTCTACTGCTACATTTCAATTGTCTGTGATTTGGTTTCTCTCTTTTAAATTGTTTCCATTTGCTGTTGTAAACCAGTTTGATAGTTCTTTTTATGTAAGCAAGATAGAAAGATTATTGCTAAATAAGACCAAGAAAGCAAGGAGCACATAAGAAACCTGCCCTATACTGAGTCACACCATTTGGTTCATCTCACCCAGTATTCTCTATTGGGCACCAGCTCTCCAGGGTTTTTGGCAGGGAGCAGTTCCTAGTCCTACCTAGAGATGCCAGGGATTGAAGGATCTGCAAGGCAGATGCTCTACTACTGAGCCAACAGTCCTTTTCTGCCTGAATACCCTTTCTCTAATTTGTAGGTGTGTCCAGGGGACACGGGTGGTGCAGGGACTCAGGTGGCGCTGTGGGTTAAACCACAGAGCCTAGGACTTGCCGATCAGAAGGTCGTGGTTCGAATCCCCGTGACAGGGTGAGCTCCCGTTGCTCGGTCCCTGCTCCTGCCAACCTAGCAGTTCAAAAGCACATCAAGGTGCAAGTAGATAAATAGGTACCGCTCCAGCAGGAAGGTAAATGGCGTTTCCGTGCGCTGCTCTGGTTCTCCAGAAGTGGCTTAGTCATGCTGGCCACATGACCCGGAAGCTGTACGCCGGCTCCCTCAGCCAATGAAGCGAGATGAGCACCGCAACCCCAGAGTCGGCCATGACTGGACCTAATGGTCAGGGGTCCCTTTACCTTTACCAGGCGATTAAGTTGCCAAGAATGCAATGCTTACTGCAAGGACCACTTCCTTTTCAGAATGTAGCTGATTGCCATAGGCATAGCATAGCTCAGCCCTTAAAACATCACTTGTGCTCCTAATGGTTAATGCTACCTTTTTGCCTTCTATCTTTCTATGCAGGCAAGCTGGGGGAAAACATGGTCATTAAGAGAGCAGTGTGGATATCGGTGCCAGAGAAATTTTTCATCGGCTCTTACGTGCACGGGGCTCTCCCAGAAGGAAACCCGTCACTTTCTAACATGATGTTTGGCAAATACGGAGCTCTGGTGATCTGCTGTCCCTCTGAGCCATGTGAAAAGTCGGACTTTGCTGAACTGGGCTGGAGGCTGGGCCAGCATGTGGTGGGCATGGCCCCGCTCTCTGTAGGCTCTCTGGAGGATGAACCCGGCGATGATTCTGAAACCAAGATGCTTGCCCAGCCCTTCCTGCTGGACCCTGCTATTTCCCTGGGACAGTACATTCAGCCCACGGGTGTATCTGTACTAGACTTTGTGCGGTTTGAATGCGGAGAGGATATAGAACTGTCAGCATCAGAGTAAGCAGTACTTTTGTACTGGGGGCACTGGGACAAGTGAACTGTTCCCTGTTCCTGTTTGGGCCCTGCCATGGTTAACAGACCTGACCAGTCACAAATTAAACTCTGCTGTGTTGGGTTGGTCATGGAAGCCGAATACTAATCGTGGAATCTCATTTCAAAGCTCCAGAGCGACTCTGCCCAGGTGTGGAAGACAGCTGTCAATGTTACAAATAAAACTAGCTGGCAGCAAGGAGGGGAACAGTGTCTGCTGGTTCAAGTGCATCTGTTGAATTGTCGTGAACCCCAGTGGTCGAGGCTAGGTCTGTGAGGTAACTGGGCAGCTCTTGAAGCATGCAGAAAGTCCTTGGGGGCTACTAGAAACCCATCAGAGCCCCTTTCTCCTCTTGAAATGAGTAGTCCCGGTCCACCTTGTCAAGGGTTTTCACGGTGGGGACTAGAAGCTTGAGTGGCCTTGTTTTTCCTTATGGGAAGCACGACCTTGGCATCCTCTTCTATTGCAGCAGAAGTCTAAAGGCTTAAAGTCTGAACAGACCTCTCACCATTTAGTAAGCCAAGGTCCCTGGTAATTATTGCTGGAGATACCTGCTCCTTTCTTCCGCCCAGCCACCCAAGCATTAATAGGCGAGGGGGCACTAGGAGATGGGCCAGAAAGACATCTGATCTGCCCGCAGACAGCTTCCCTTGTCCAGCTTCGTAGAACAGTCTGTGCTACTTCTGCTGTAGTTGGCAATGCTTGGTTGGCCATGAGTGGCAAGTGTAGCTACTGTGGTACCCAACGAGCAAGTCAATGAACAAGGCTTGGGTGTTCTGTAACACATATTGAAAACAAGCCGACTTCTGCGGCCGGGTTGCAGAAGTTGTCGGACAGCCCGCCTGCATTCATCCACACCTGTCTTGAATGCCTTACGGCATCTTGGACAGGCAAGTCATCTTCCTGGACTAGGGCAGTGTCTCCTTCACTTTCCTTGCTACTGGGATATGCACATTGTTCCCTGTTGCATTCTGGCAGCCCCTGTTAAGCAGTAAGCCCAGACCTCCTGTGATCACATGCCCAAATTCTGTGATATTTGCAGATGCGCACCACATACATGACATAAACTCTTCTGCTACTAGTCAACTTGGGTGGAGGTCTACTCTTTGACTGTAGAAGACTGCTCCCCCAGCACCTACACACCCTGATTCCCTTGGGAATGAGTGGTTCACACGCTTTAAAAGCAAGGGTGCAGAATCCTTTTTTGACCCAAGGGCCAGTTGATAGAGTCAAAGCAGGTGGAGCAATGAATGTAACTGTTACCTTAGTATAGCAGGCTAATTTCTGCAGTCACACATACCCCTTTCTCCTCCATCCAGGCAAACCAAGAGGCATTACCAGAGTTAGGGCCGGTATGGGATGTGTTTGAGGAGGTGTAGCCAGGAGGGTATAGCACTATGGGTCAGATAAGCCTGGAGGGCAACATCTGGACCCTAAGCCTGCAGTTTCCATTCCTGCTTGAAAGTCTCTTGCTAGTCTTAGGGAGAAAGTGAGATTCTTGTGATGCTGAACTTTGCATGCTATAACCGTTTCTGTGCTTTCCTTTGTGGAATTGTTGTATATGGCATGTACCAGACAAGTACTACGTTGAACGCTTCTATGGAAATATCTGTGGAGGAGCATGTTACTTAGTTTGAGGTAACAGAGTCAGCCTGTCTCTTGTCAGATTGAAAATACGGTCATACCTCATGTTACATCCACTTCATGTTACATTCTTTCATGTTAAGTCCCACGGCGACCTGGAAGTACCGGATAGGGTTACTTCCAGGTTTCACCGCATGAGCAGAAGCGCAAAATGACGTCACGCGCATGCTCAGAACCGGCGAATCACAACCCGCGCAGGCGCGGTGCTGCGGGTTGCGCTCTTTTCATGTTGCGAACGGGCCTCCGGAACGGATCCCGTTCGCAACCAGAGGTACCATTGTAGTTTCGCAGGATGTGTTTCAGAAACAAGGAATCACTTGGCTCTAGAGAACTGAGGACTGACTGTGTTAAGCTCCAAACTCCCTTAGGCAGGAAGGAATACAGGAATTGCTCCAAGCAAGGAAAGTGGTGCTCCTCAACTCTCTTGGGCTGGCTCAACACCAAGCATGAAGTAGCTGCTCAGAAGTCCTGTTTTGTGACAGCAGAGATAGCTAACAAGGTACCCTCCAGATGTTGGACCAACTCCCATCAGCCCCCCTGGGCTAGGGATGATGGGAATTGTCCAGCAACATCTGGAGGTCGCATGTTGCCTGCCCCTCTCTTTCAGTGTGGCTAGGTGGAGAGGGTGCTAGTGGCACATTGCTTGATGCTAGATTGTTATTATATTTCCTCTTAGCTCCTCTTTCTCACCAGCAGTTGCAGTGGGAAGCTAGGCTCTACACAGCACATCCCCCAATAGTTGACTAGACCACAGTGGCGCTGGAGTTGGGGAAGGCAAAGCAGCCCATCAATATAGTAGCTGTTAGTGTGCTTAAATCCCGTACCCGGTCCCCAAAATTAGAGCTTTCTGCACATGACCGTAAGCAATCATTGCAGAACTACAAGTCCCAGCATTCCTTGAGGTCACAGGCAGGATGGAATGAGTTATTAAGGACAGTGAAGCCGGCTTTTAATGTTTGCAATATAGGTATGCACTCTACAAGGCCCAAGTCACACAAAACAGCCAGCCATCGCGTGGCTTGGATTTCTAACTGCCACAGCGTGGCTACTTAATTTGCATCAAGCGCAGCCGATAGCCAAGAGCAGAGACGGCTGTTGCCTGTGGATCTTCTGAAATTCAGTTCTGCCTGCTTTGTCTGAGTTGGGTTTTCTCACCACTGTAGACTTGCAATGGTGAAGCCGTTTTTTGTTGTTTTTAAAGTTCCTGGACAGCAGCAGCCTTGAGTAAAAGATACGAAACCAACCTTCAAAGCGCAATTTAGGCACAAACGTGATACATAACGCAGCTCCCTTCGCAGGCTCAGCTGCTTCTGGCTAGGGGTCCTGCCCCCAAATCAATAGGAATTGAGTGCAGGTGTCATCTTTTCCACCTCGAGAAACGCTTATTCTTCAGAAAAGCCCCTTCTCTTTCTTCATGTTGAGTTGCTTCCAAGTAGGGAGAGCAGCAAACTTTTCCCTGGGGATCCCAAAGACTTTGAGGAAGTCTTGCGCTGACAGGAAATTCTGTTGATGAGGGGGGAAAGACCACAGTGACTAGATGAGTAAAGGAAAGATAGGATTTGAGCAGTGAGTACACACAATGAGGCCCCACTCTAGGTCACGTTAGCCCAAGAGAATCCAAGGAAGTAAGTTAATTGGATGGATTGCTTTTGGCCGTAGTCTTCACAGATACCAGATGAGGTGGAAAACCTACTTCTGAATGTGGAACATCAGACTGCAGGTGTGTGGGGTGAGGGGATTGAATGCTCCTCTTTAGCAAATGAATGTTTGAGGTAGATTTACTTATAGATATTCCCACACATAGAATTTTATTATTTATCAACAGTGCGATTTATGTGATCAATTTACGGAGTACAACGATAGGCCCCTGCCCCAACCAGCTTACAATCTAAAACTAAACACGGGAAATGGAGGGGAGTGGTTTAACAGGCCGAGTTACAGTCGGGCATAAGAAAATAGCCCATCAGGGAGAAGGCTAAAGGGAGACTCCTTCCCCCTGACATGTTGGTTTTCTGTGTGAAGGGGGTTTATTTTTTTGTTTCGTTTTATATGAAGACACATTTAGTCCTGCAAGTCCCTATCTGCAGTCTGAAGCGGTACAGTTGAGAAACAAGTTTGCCTCTCCATCTTCTATTTGTGAGAGTGGGTCTAACTTCAGCTCTACTGGAGTCCGGCCGTGTTACAAGCCTTCAGCGATTTTGCCAAGTATAGCCCATGTCATTTGAAGCCTGCCTGTGCACTGGGAACTTACCTTTTATTTTTTATTTCCCCCCCAAAATTTTTATTAATTTTCCAAATTTATAACATAACAAACAAACAAACAAACAAAACATAAATCCTAACTATAATAATTCCACTTTTGTTAACATTGTTAGGTGACTTCCTCGAATCCCCCTGGCTGAGTTTCTGTGTATATCATTGTAACAGTTTTCCAAAACTAATTTTTCATAAAATTTACTTAATCAATTAACATCTTTCTTTCTTTTCATTTTAACTTTAGATATGTTATTCTATAACTTCACATATGTAAATCCTAAGCCAATCTGGTACTTGCAAGTATTTCTATTTAAATTATCTTAGCATATTTAGCTAAATAGTCTTTAAATTTCATCCATTCCTCTGGGAACTTACCCTTTAAAGCTTAAGACAATGAATTCTGCCCCCAATTCCAAAATGTATGTTTGTGTGGTACAATCATTGGTAGCCCTAGCAGGATGCATGTATGAATGAAATTTCCAACCTGCTATTTCCAGCACTGTTTCCCAACCTGTGGATCGTAGACTTTTAGAGCTCTGGGGTTTTTTTTCTCTTGGAAGGCTCCAGTAAGGAGGGCAGGCATATTTGCTCACACTGTTGCTGCCTGCCAGCCACTATCTTTATAAAAAAAACATCAGGGAAGAAAGGAAGGAGCAGCAGCAGGGGGCTTAAGCCTTGCTGCTTACCGTATTTTTCGCTCCATAAGACACATTTTTCCCCTCCTAAAATGTAAGGGGAAATGTGTGTGCATCTTATGGAGCAAATGCAGGGGGGAGGCAGGCAGGAAAAACCCCCGCGGCTCTTGCGGGCTTTTCCCCAGGAGGGAGAAGGGACTGACGCGGCCAGTCAGTCCCTTCTCCCTCCTCGTAGAAAAGCCCGCAGAAGCTGTGCACTTCTTAAAGGTCGCGCGGCTCCTGTGGGCTTTTCTACGAGGTGGAATTCCCCCATCTCGTAGAAAAGCCAGCAGAAGCTGCGCACCCTTTAAAGAGCGTGTGGCTTTTGCGTGCTTTTGCAGGAGGTGGGGGAATTCCCCCACCTCATAGAAAAGCCCGCATGAGCCGCGTACCCTTTAAAGAGCACACCGCTCTTGGGGGCTTTTCCCCGAGGAGGGAGAAGGGACTGACTGGCCGCTTCAGTCCCTTCTCCCTTCTCGTAGAAAAGCCAGCAGGAGCCGTGCGCTCCTTAAAGAGTGTGCGGCTCCTGTAGGCTTTTGCGGGAGATGGGGGAATTCCCCCACCTCCTGCAAAAGCCGTGCACTCTTTAAAGGGTGAGCGACTTCTGCTGGCTTTTCTACAGGGGGGGGGTGGAATTCTGAAAACTAGGTGCACCCCATGGCCTTATGGAGTGAAAAATACGGTAAGTAGTTCAGAACAGAAGGAGCTTGAGGCTAAAGGGTCTAGATGGGTGAAAGCCTAGCAACCCACAGGAATGCCATCATGAGTTCCATGATGGAAGAAAACTGTGATATAAATGCAAGAAAACAAATAAACAACTTGCCTCCTTCTTAGCAGGATCCACGTCTTCTGGTAGCTCATCCTGGCTGGACAGCAGGACTTCTAGAGGGTAGGTAGGGCAGTTGCTGCTGTCCAAGGTCCCAGGCCTTGGAGTGAGGGATGCGCCATTCAGATCCTGAGCAGAAAAGGGGCAGGTTTTTAAAATGCCATCTGTAGAAGCAGACCCTATACAGTGGTACCTTGGAAGGCAAACGAAATCCATTCCGGAAGTCCGTTAAACTTCCAAAACGTTCGGAAATCAAGGCGCGGCTTCCGATTGGCTGCAGGAAGCTTCTGCAGCCAATCAGAAGCAGCGGCGGACGTTCAGGTTCCAAAGAACGTTCACAGACTGGAACATTCACTTCCAGGTTTGGGAGCCAAAACGTTCGACTCGCAAGGCGTTCGGGAGCAAAGGTACGACTGTACAGGCTTCTTATATACAGAACTTTAATAATAGAGGCATTTAGTTAATAAATAAATTCTATGCTTATGAGGAAGCCAAACTGAAAGCACTTTTAAGACTAGGAACTTATTTGACCCCAGAGAAATCCACCTGTGTTTTTGTGCGATTCACTGCATGGGAGAGGATGAGTAACTCGGCTGTTTCTCTCTGGATTTGAGGGGAGAATGAATGGAAGGAGTAGTGAATCTTGCAGACACACAGTGGGCAGGGTCCTCTGTGGGTGGGAATATTGGGCTTGGGAGAACCCTTCAATTATTTAATAAATTTCTCATCCTCTGGTCATGGCACACTACTTTAGAAAGCCACCAGGGTACCAAAAGTAAATAAAGGCCACAGGGATGGGTTTTCCTTGCCTCAGCCATGATGTTGCTGGAGGTGCAGTAGGAGAAGGCAGAACTTTAGCTCAATTTTGACTGTGTCCAACAGAGAACTCATACTTTGCATGCAGAAAGTCCCAGGTAATAATTTTTGTTTCCTAACCAACAGACAATGTGAAATACTCTCTTCCCCTACTTAGCCACTGACCTCGTTTCTCACTGGGGAAACCAAAGCGTCAACTTACAGCCGTGATTCTGACAATGTTGTTGGCATCTCCCAGTTCCTTCTTCAGCTGCTCATATGTCTTTCCTTCCTGCAAGGGTTCAAAAAAACCACTAATCTGTAAGAGGGTTATGGCACCATAGCACCTTCTTGTGCTAGAAACAGGGTTTTACTCCCAAGCATTTCTCCCCGAGACCTGTTCTGAATTGAGTTGCAACCAATCAGAACTAAGATGACCCGCTTGCATAAGACCAAAGTCCTTATCATGAATTCAGTAGAACTTAAGTCAGAGTAGGCATGGTTAAGACTGCAGAGTCAATGCATTGATCTTCCACATCTATAGTCTGGATATTCTCAAAGGAGCTCAGGGTGTTATGTGTGAGGTTTAGCTGACACGCAGTATCCCAGTGGTTCAGATGTATCTGATAATCAACAGTGTACAAATTGAATGCCTGCCAAAATCAAAACAATAAAACGATCCCCCAAAGTAGCTTGCAAAGCACTTGGATTTTGAATGTTACAGGAAAATTTCACAATCAAAATTCATATGAGAAATTCCACATTCAAAAACTTAATTGACAAAACTGGACATACCTGCAGATTTCAAATATTTGTCAGTATTTGTTTCAGCAAATGACCCAACTTATATCTGTTTTATTTATTTCAAAAAGTGTGTGCCACTCTCTGTCAATTTGGCACATGGGGTGAAATTCAACATCACACTGTCAATTGTTCTGTCACCGCAAGCCTTTCAGTTTCCAGACACTGTTCTGGGGGTTCTCCTGACTGCCTCAGAGCCCATTTCAGGGGGTGCATTTTTTTGGGGGGGGGGGAGAAGCCCTATTGTGCAAGTGGAAGTTGTTGCACAGGCCTCCACTGACCAAACTCATTTGTTGAATTCCACTCGTGGGAGAAATCACCCCTAGATCTCTAGAAAACAAAAGCGATTTGGTTCAGGCATGGTTTCCACTTACACTCCACCGATATGGGTCCCAAGCCAGGAACCAGCCTGTGAAGTTGGGCGGTTCAAAACCTTGCTTGATTATGAGGATGGGGGTGTCGGTCTCCCTCCCGCTGGGATGGGTCTGCAGGTATTCCTGAGCCATCGTCACTGCCTCCTTCCTCTCTGTCTCGTTAGCTTCTTTGCCAATCCATAGGAAAATCTGGGGAAAGAGAAGAGCGATGATTCAGAAGTTGCTCCATCGGACAACAGGGAGCATTAGAGCGGGGGAACCTGCGATTCTCCAGATGTTGTTGGGCCGCAACTCTTGACAGTTGACCATTGGCCCTTCTGGCTGGGACAGATGGGAATTAGAGTCCAATGACAGCCACCCCTGGAGTCAGAACTAGGAAGCTTTTCTGAAACCAGACTGTAGTGATTTATCGGCAAAGGTTGATGCGACTGTGCAGGACAACACGATATCTGTCCTGATCATAGTACTGTAGATAAAAGGAGCACACAGGGACTGAGCTCTGCCCCCATTCAGAGGTCTAGATTTAGTCTAAGGCAGGGGTCAGCAAACTTTTTCAGCAGGGGGCCGATCCACTGTCCCTCAGACCTTGTGGGGGGGCACTCGAATAATTTCAGTAGCAGTTTTAAGAATGGTGTAAAACCTATGAATGGACCAAGGGTTATTAAACTTGAACAAAACTAGTTGTGTAATGGCAATGAACAAATAATATAGAATCTGTAATAAGGAATAGACAGGAAGTCTGGTTGATAGAAAAAAAAACATTTTTATTTTATGGTTTGAAGACTATTAGTTGATTCCTTTCTTTTTTGTTTGGTGGTGATGGAAATTTGTTTTCTTTTCTGTTTGGTGTGTTAAAGTGAATGATAGCAATAAAATCATTAAAAAATAAATAAATGAACGAATTCCTATGCCCCACAAATAACCCAGAGATGCATTTTAAATTAAAGCACGCATTCTACTCATGTAAAAACACCAGACAGACCCCACAAATAACTCAGAGATGCATTTTAAATAAAAGGACACATTCTACTCATGTAAAAATGTGCTGATTCCCGGACTGTCCGCAGGCCGGATTGAGAAGGCGATTGGGCCGCATCCGGCCCCCGGGCCTTAGGTTGCCTACCCCTAGTCTAAGGTCACCCATTGCTTGTAGTATACAGCTGCCCTGGAAGAAAACTAGGGAAACATTGGTTTTGACCGTAAGGATATTCCCAGGTGTCACAGAAGTCTTAGGGGGCACACCAGTAAGGAAGCTAAACCAGGACAAATGGAGGAAACTCCCGATTCCATCCCGATAGGCAGGTAAGTTAAGTGACTAAACTATATAATGGCATTATCCACAGACTGTGGCAGTCCAAAGGTTCCTTCAAACCCAGAACTCCTAACAGTGGGGCACTTAGATGCTGAAGGGGAGCAAGGCAAGTGGATCAGGAGCTGCATCCTATTGTCTATCTCCATATTATCAGTGGCACTAGGGGAAAAGAAACCGTCCTGGCTGTTGTGGCTTGTAAGCATCAGCAGACATCCTTCATGAAGCTATTTTTGCATTTCTATAGTTCCTTTGCTAGTCCTAGAAACTTAATACGCTCTTTTGTGTGTGGGGGGGGGGGTATTTTGGAGCTCATTTATTCTGCTTGAGAACCAAGCTTACTGCCTTTGCCTTCTGCTAAGTGGGTGGCACTGTGGTCTAAACCACAGAGCCCAGGGCTTGCTGATCGGAAGGTCAGCAGTTCGAATCCCCGTGATGGGGTGAGCTCCCGCTGCTCAGTCCCAGCTCCTGCCAACCTCGCAGTTCAAAAGCATGTCAAAGTGCAAGTAGATAAATAGGTACCACTCCGGTGGGAAGGTAAACGGTGTTTCTGTGCGCTGCTCTGGTTTGCCAGAAGCGGCTCAGTCATGCTGGCCACATGACCCAGAAAAACTGTCTGCAGACAAACATCGGCTTTCTCAGTCAATAAAGCGAGATGAGTGCCGCAACCCCAGAGTCATTTGCGACTGGACTTAATTGTCAGGGGTCCTTTACCTTTTCCTTTTTAAGCCTTTCCAAACTACAATATTTTTAAGGGACTGCAAGCCTCCAATGCTCCACACTCCCTGCTCCGCAGAGTAATCATACCTTCAGGAGGCTGCCTTGTGCTCCTTAACACTCAAACAGAGTGGAAGAATTACAGGAAGTAGCCAGAGACTTTAAATCACACAGCCACCATAGAATGAGAGGCTAGGAAATTCAGGACGGTACTTCAGACTCCCCTGCCCCAGTCTCACCTGGTCCCAGGTATCCAGCATCATCACATCACTTTCACTGAGGTCATCTTGGGTAAAGTCTGTGATCTCAATGGCTACAAAGCATCCGGTCTTGTTGGAGCATTCAAAGAGCCGTGGAGGGTGGTCAGGGATCTCCTCCTGCAGCCTGTAAGACAGAGACTGTTTGAGAAAGTCCTTTTTAGGTCTCACTTCCAACGTGCTTATAAGGATGTGGAGATGTGGACCAAGATCTGCTGGCCCCGTTATTAATCCCTTTATTTATTATTTTAGTTTTACTTGCTTCTCTGCTGCCCTTCAACATAGCATATTGCCAAGGTGACTCACGTCTGCCTTTAACAATCAATGCACAAACTTTATGAAGCACAAGTATTTCAGCATTGTAATAAAAAAATAACAGCAATAAAAATAATCACAACCCAATAGTGTTTTGTTTTGTTTGTTTTTAAAAAGCCTAATAAAAACATAATGTATATATATTTTTAAAGCCTGGGTTGTCGAAAAGCTCTTGGAAGTAGGCGCTAGTTGAGTCTACCTCTCTAGATAATTCTTCATCTGTGATTCCTGCATTGCAGGAAATTTTGCTTAGATGACGCTTTGGGGGTGCCTTCTAACTCTATGATTCTGGGATGCTAATGTTGGGGACAGAGGGTGCTTCCAGGTGGGTGTTTATTATGGGATCAATGCATGCGAGTTTCTCACAGCATCCCTATGATATCATTAGTATCAAAATACCAACCCGTATCCTCCCCCTGCCCCATTTAATCCAGATTCACCCTTACTGGGGGGAATCTGGTAAGTGATATTTGTGATATCCGAACACCTGCTTGCAATATTTAAGCCCCCTGCCTAGAAGCACCCAGATACACAAGCAAGTACTAGAGTTTAGGGACAGGGCGCAAATACCTTTTCTCACTTGCATAGGGGGCTTTGCCTCCAAGCAGCTCCCAAAACTCGGGGGGTTCCTGCCCTTCTGCTACCATCTCCTGAATCCCGTTGCAAAGGGTGGTGGCCAACTCCTTGGCCATTTCCCGTTCATCGCCACTGGAACCCTGGAATGAAAACCCACAGAGGTAAGGTGGCGGAAGTGGAAGGGCAGCTTGCTGACCCACATCTAGGTGGGCTACGAAACAATCTTGAAAGGTTTTGGTGTAAGGGGACGCCTGCAGTCATGCCTTGACAAGACACCACGGGAAATACAATGAATAAATGCTTAAGTCAAGAAAGAACTTCGCATATGCAGTTGAATGTATGTAAATGCACCAAAATCTTGAGGGAGAATTTCCTGAAGAAAGAAATTAAATATTGTAGCTTAAGCCAAGAAGGAATGTAACATATGGACTTGAATGTTTAGAAATATATCAAAACCGTGAGAGAGAATTTACTGAAGAAGTCCGAGACTCTTCATGGGCGAAACAGGTGACAAACGCCGGCACCCTGTCTAACTCTCGTGCGTAACATCACTGACACTTCGTTTGATCAAACTTATCTTCGCTGATATCTACAGGAGCCTGGCTAAAGGAACTTTAAAGACTGAATCTTCCTTTTGGACACAATTTGAATGAGTTTTCTGTTTGTGGCTTCTGTAGTAGATCTTGTACCTTGTTCTCTCAGTGTTTGGATTATTAATATAAGATTTAGAACGTAGAATGGTTTGGTAGTGTTTTGTATGCCGCTTATGTGCTGCTTACTTCATACTGGTCTACTACTTGACAAGACACCAAACATTTTCCCCTGAGCTATCTGGGCACTACAGGCCTTATGTACGTCCGCACTTGGAGCTAGAAGTCAACAATCTTGCCTGCTCCCATAAAAAGGGCCGCACAGGCTGTGTTTGCACATAACACTAAACCCTGGTTTAGCATTATAAGAACAAGCTGTGGCAAGCCGTTGGTGTCACGCGCTTCCCCCTCTTCTGACGTGACCGGTTTTGACAAACCATAGTTAAGATTAACCCTGGTTTGCCTGGGTTGTGACATCACACAAAGCAGCATTTAATCTAAAGTGGAAGCAAAAGCTTCCAAGTGAGATGTTTCTACTGTAGCCCAAGAGTTGCTATGGCTTGTCCTCATAAATGCAAATGCAGCCACTGCAGGGAGATGTTCTAGGAATAGAAGAAGCTGCCTTTATACAGAGTCATCCCCCTGGTCCATCTAGCTCTGTATTGGCTACCCAAAACTGGATGACAGTGGCTCTCCAGGGCTTTTAGACAGGAGTCTTTTGTAAACCTACCTGGAGTTGCAGTAGATTGAATCTGGGACCTTGTGCATGCAAAATGTGTGCTCTGTCGCCTCTGAGATATAGACAGGGTGCTCTTCCTCTGGAATCTGCTGCCCTAGGCAACTGCTGCATTCTGCTCCGTGATAATCCTAGTTCTGTGTTCCTGGCCATGTGCACTTTCTCAAAGTGCCCTCTACAGTCACGGGGGCTTGTGACTTCCTTTCTCTATTTAATTTTAAGCTGCTACTCACTGTGTGCCAAAATCTGAATAGCATACCATAGCTGAAATGCTTTCGAAATTTATTCCTACGTTAGTACGTTTCAGAGCACAATTCAAAGTGTTGGTGCTGACTTTTAAAGCCCTAAATGGCCTTGGCCCAGTATACCTGAAGGAGCGTCTCCACCCCCATCGTTTAGCCCAGACACTGAGGTCCAGCTCCGAGGGCCTTCTGGTGGTTTCCTCACTGCAAGAAGCGAAGTTACAGGGAACCAGGGAGAGGGCCTTCTTGGTGGTGGCACCCGCCCTGTGGAACGCCCTACCATCAGATGTCAAGGAAATAACAACTATCTGACTTTTAGAAGACATCTGAAGACACCCCTGTTAACAAAAGTTTTTAATGATTGATGTTTTATCATGTTTTTAATATTCTGTTGGGAGCCGCCCAGATTGGCTGGGGAAACCCAGATGGGTGGGGTAATAATAATAATAATAATAATAATAGTAAGTCACGCATTTCCAAGTTATCTTTCACAACCATGAAAGACAGAGACTTGGGACTACACTGCTGTTTTTGATGAAAGTTGAAGGTTCCCTCGTCACTGCAAGGAGTCCAAATTCTATACCAGACATTTGGTCTCACCAATTTTTCTTTTCTTAATTCCGACACCCACCCGTCCATGTAAAAACCTTTCTGGCAGGATGCCCCTGTGGCGGCCTGTTTGAAAAGCAAAGGATGGTGGGGTTCTGGATTCCCACCCGCCCTCCTGCTTGACGTTGCCCTCATCCCTGCTCCTAGCCACCTTTCCTAGCCTCACCTTGCCATACCACAAGTAATGGTCCGTCTGGGTCTTCAGCAAGAAGACATCGTTGGAGTTGAGAGAGGCAGCCACAGACGGCACTTCTACCGCCTTCGTGTTGGAGCTGTCCGTTCCACGGATCTGGAAGAGCCGCACTGGTGGTTCCGCTTCGCTCCTGCCTTTCCTGGATGTCCCGCCCTAAAGACCAAGTGAGGGAAGGGCAGAACAACAAACCGACATCGCTGCTAACCTAACGATGAGACTGGAGCAATGGCACGGTTCACCTAAGTAACCTTAATGGCCTTACAGCAGTGGTGATGGATTAGATTGGGGTCAGCAACCTTTTTCAGCCGTGGGCCAGTCCACCATCCCTCAGACCATGTGGTGGGCCAGACTATATTTTGAAGAGGGGAAAAAAGAACAAATTCCTATGCCCCACAAATAACCCAGAGATGCATTTTAAACAAAAGGACACATTCTACTCATGTAAAAACACGCTGGCTGGAATGAGAAGGCGATTGGGCCACATCTGGCCCACGGGCCTTAGGTTGCCTACCCCTGGATTCGATGGTAATATTTCATAGAATCATAGAGTTGGAAGAGACCACAAGGGCTATCGAGTCCAACCCCCTGCCAAGCAGGAAACACCATCAGAGCACTCCTGACATATGGTTGTCAAGCCTCTGCTTAAAGACCTCCAAAGAAGGAGACTCCACCACACTCCTTGGCAGCAAATTCCACTGTCGAACAGCTCTTACTGTCAGGAAGTTCTTCCTAATGTTTAGGTGGAATCTTCTTTCTTGTAGTTTGGATCCATTGCTCCGTGTCCGCTTCTCTGGAGCAGCAGAAAACAACCTTTCTCCCTCCTCTATGTGACATCCTTTTATATATTTGAACATGGCTATCATATCACCCCTTAACCTCCTCTTCTCCAGGCTAAACATGCCCAGCTCCCTTAGCCATTCCTCATAAGGCATCGTTTCCAGGCCTTTGACCATTTTGGTTGCCCTCCTCTGGACACATTCCAGTTTGTCAGTGTCCTTCTTGAACTGTGGTGCCCAGAACTGGACACAGTACTCCAGGTGAGGTCTGACCAGAGCAGAATGCAGTGGCACTATTACTTCCCTTGATCTAGATACTATACTCCTATTGATGCAGCCCAGAATTGCATTGGCTTTTTTAGCTGCTGCGTCACACTGTTGGCTCATGTCATGTTTGTGGTTAACCAAGACTCCTAGATCCTTTTCACATGTACTGCTCTCAAGCCAGGTGTCACCCATCTTGTATTTATTCCTTCGCTCGCTGCTGCATATAGGGAGTCTCCTCTTCATTCTCCTGACTGGGCCTCTGGTCTCCTACCCCAGAGTCCTACCCTGATGGCCGCACTGGCTATGCAGGTGAAAATTTACAAAATGCACATCTACAGGGAAAGAAGCTGGAGGGGCAAAGGTCTGGGATTATCACTTCTCAACCATGCAACAGACAAGTATTTTCAATGAGAAGCTTCTAGATGGGACTTGAGTTAAATACTTAAGGCAAAGGCGAAACCACCCCTGAGATTAATACCTGTGACCAGGGCTTTTTTTTCTGGGGGCAGGCATACTCCTAAACATATTGTGAATCTATGTTTGACCTCATAGAGGGGCAGTATTTCAATATGAGTAGGAAAATGAGAGTACCCCTAAACATTTTTTTCTTAGAAAAAAGCACTGCCTTTGACCGACACCTATTGAAACACTTCCTCTTTCCCATCCTATTAAATAAGTGCACAAATATTCCTGGAGGCAGACTCACTAGACTATTGGGAGTTCAGGTACCTTTTCCACGCACTTCTGAATATTGTTAAATTCATCAGTAGCACCTCAGAACAAGTATTTAATCTTCTGCTACATCTGACACCTGCCTGGATCAAAGGATTTCATTTGTATAAATGGGATTCTTCATCACTGATTCTGCAGATACCAGCTGGTGACATATTTAGTCCTAATTCCCAGTTTGTGGAGGAAATGAAATGCCTTTCTAACCCATGATTTGGTTACTATCTGTAAAACCTGTAAAACCAATAAGAACAATATTCAGCAAAGCTGGCTTGGAAATGCCTGATTGGATTTTTTTTTTTAAAAAAAAAAAGGCTTAAAGAGGCACCTAAAAGAACAAATTGTTGGCACCATCCAACTTTGAGGCGAAGAATATCTCAAAGCATGGATGCTACCTGACTAAAAGCCTAGTTCCAGGTACTCATTCAATGAATGTCTGGACCATATGATCCCCACGAGAGGGTAGCTACCCCAATCGGTGTCAACTGCAAAAAAAACTGTGAGCTGATCCTTATCCAGATGTGCAATTATATATTTTTTTAAATCACACAGAGCAGAGTAAAAAATATATTGGGCAGCCAGAGTGGCTGGAACACTAGAATTTGGAATATTTTGCCAATCAGGTAAGGACAAGGAAAAACAGAGACAGCAGCAGATGGAGTGGGGGAAGGGCAGGAAAGTCAGGACTGCCAAATTGTGAGATCATGGGAATCCCTATTCCAAAGCCATTGAAATCCAGTTCCCATTTGTTTTTTTCAACTTTCAGAAGATATTGCTTGTACAATGAGGACTATAATCTCTCTCTTTTTTTTCCTTTTTAAAAGAAAGGCGGGAGAAAGGGAAAAACATGAAAAGCCAAAGCTGGTGCCTGATTCTGCATGGTTGACGTGATTCCTCGAGTATCTAAGACTCCCTGCCTCCCTCTTCCCTTTTTTTACAGCAGGGATGACAGAGACAAGCTTCCATATTCATTCAAAGAAGGGAAGCTCCAACAAGGAATGAACTGTGTTGTCACTCTATGCCCTTCCCATCTTGGCTGCTGTAAGCGACAAGAATAAGACCCAAGGACAGACTGTTCCACTGAGACGTCAGGGAACCTGGGTTCTGGTCTCCTCCTTCGCTCCTGACTTTTGCCCCTCAGAATATACCAGAAGGGCAAAGAGTTTGTGTTCAGGGAGAATCTGGCTGTGACTCACAATGGTCTTGAGCAGGTACAGCAGGGATGGGGAACCTGTGACCCTACAGGTCCCATCACCCCCAACCATTGGGCTCAGGATTATGGGATGTGAAGTCCCAACATTATCTGGAGGGTCCCGGGATCCTTGCTTCTAAGCTGCAGCAACACACTTAGCTGTAACAGGCCTGACGCCTGGGGAATTCAGTTTGTGATTTTCCATGGTGCTCCTTAATTCTCCTCCATACCTCAAAGAAGACAAGCTTGCCTTTGAAGATGGCCAAGAAGTGGCGCGGCTCTTTGCCCATGTTCAGCCGCACCTGCACAGGCTCCCCGTTGTACTGCTGATCCAGCTCCACTGCATGGTAGGCTGAAGCCGCAAGCTCGTCCACCGTGGCATGGCGTCCCTGTTGAGTACAGTAATGGAATTCACTGAAATTGAAAGTGCTTGTATTCATTGCTATGGGTTTAAATTTGATTGGTTGGTAACTGAATTCTATAGTGTTCTCTAGCGGTTCTCAGAGACATCACCTTGCCAACAAAGGTCCGCATAGTTTAAGCCATGGTTTTCCCAGTAGTGATGTATGGAAGTGAGAGCTGGACCATAAAGACGGCTGATGACCGAAGAATTGATGCTTTTGAATTATGGTGTTGGAGGAGACTCTTGAGAGTCCCATGGACTGCAAGAAGATCAAACCTCTCCACTCTGAAGGAAACCAGCCCTGAGTGCTCACTGGAAGGACAGATCGTGAAGCTGAGGCTCCAAGACTTTGGCCACCTCATGAGAAGAGAAGACTCCCTGGAAAAGACCCTGATGTTGGGAAAGATGGAGGGCACAAGGAGAAGGGGACGACAGAGGACGAGATGGTTGGAGAGTGTTCTCGAAGCTACCAGCATGAGTTTGACCAAACTGCGGGAGGCAGTGGAAGGCAGGAGTGCCTGGCGTGCTCTGGTCCACGGGGTCACGAAGAGTCGGACACGACTAAATGACTAAACAACAACAACAGCGGTTCTCATGTGATTAGTTAAGGTTGGTCACATGGGAGGGAAATAGTGAAGGAGAGACTTCATTTTATGGGAAGCAAGATGACTGTGTTTTAGAATCCACTGTGAACACTGCTCAGTTGAATAGAGTGTTAGAGTGTTTCTTCTCGGCTTAAGGGAGCAGGTAAAATGGAGAAGGTAAATCTCTCATAGGAGCTGCAAGGCATGGCCTAACTGAGAGAAAGAAAGCAGAGTGCTGGGCTCTGGAAAGACAGGAAAACACTGCTGTTTGGAAGTTAGAAGAAGAGACTGTAATAATAATAAGAATTTTTAAATTTATATCCTGCCCATCTTGCTGGGTTTCGCGAGCCACTCTGGGCGGGCTTACAACATATATAAAAACACAACAAAGCATCAAACATTAAAAAACAAAATATCCTATACGAGCAACAAACAAGCCAATAAATTAATAGAAAACAACAACAACAACAACCAGTTTACGGTTATACCCAAATTAAAATAACTGCCAACCCCAACTAAACATTTAACCAACATCAACCTGACCAAAACAAAAAAGGAACCAAATTTAGAACCGTTTAAAACATTTTAAAACCTTTTAGCCAGTTGCCCCAACCCAAGAGTTGTTCCAGCAATGTCCGTCCGGCCTCCCAGGAGCCTCTTTTAGGAAGAACACAAAGTGGCTTCAATTCAGTGTGAAGTTAAGTACAAATATGCATCCATGAATACAAGAGAATAATACAAAAATGAAATTAAAGCAACGGCTACAGTGTAAAAAATAAATACATGTAGGCCCATGCTTGGATGAGCATGCAACTGTAAATATTATGTTTTAATTCATCTATAATTAACAGTTTCTGCAAGTAAAGTTTTTGCATGTTAGAGTCTGGACATTGGTTTAATTTCCAAAGAAGGGGGGTGTCAGTTATATATATGATTTGACCTTCTTAGCTGCGCTTTCACTACCCTTATATTCAACAGCCCCTGAAGCACAGGGAGATCTAGCATGCGGTGAGTATAGCTGCACATTACCGCCACGCTGAGTGAGGGTCTCCAACGTAGGCTCTCATTAGCCATATTGGATTTAAGAGACTCAAGTACAAATCCTCAACGGAGCCATGAAAGTTATTGGGCGACTCTGAGCCAGTCAACCTCTCTCAGTCTCATCCATCCAAAAGGGTTGTGTCCTGGGGGTAACACAAGCATTTCAAACTCTATGGCGGGAGGGAGCAGAGCGCAAGGACTGTGTGCGCTATATGCAGTTTGTGCACCAGCCAATTTCCCTAACCATAGTTTACAGCCACCATTACCTGTACACCATGGACAATTGAAAGGAACATTTGGTAGCAGCACCTAAGACTTCTGAAGCCAACTCCTCTGGGAAGTCAACAGAAACAGGGCCTTCCTCATCTGAAGCTGTTCACTTACCTGCCAAATGTACAAGATGTAATGGGGTTTCCTGTTGACCTCATAGGTGTACAGGACTAAGTAGCAGTCTCCACCGTAGAAGAATCCATGCCATCGATGGTCCACTGGCGCCAGCTCCAGGTTCTCAACCCTCCAGACCTAGAGATAACAAAACAGAGAGTGGAACTAGATGTTATCTCAGCAAATGTGCAGTCATAACCTAGGTTAACCAACCTATTTCTGGCCCATGTTTGGGCATTTATCTGCTTTCTAAAAAAGAAAACTGCACGAAAATTCATATTGCAGCACGCATTTTATCAAAGACGATAGATTCAAATACATATACTGTAATAAAGATGATTAGTGAAGGTAGCATGCAAAAATGCATAAAATTAGGGAGGAAATGCTTGCGAAAATATGGACAAGAGTTAAAACGGCATACAAAAATTTCTTTATTGGGAGAAATTTGCACTAAAATGCTGATGAATTTTCATGAGGATTTTTTTAAAAATGCAAATTGTGGCATTAAACGTGGAGAACTGAATTTAAGACTGGAAAAAAAGGGAAGCCCAGAGAACCACAACTGACAGATCCTTTCATTGCTACCTTAACACTTGTTTTGCTGAGATTAATTGAAATGTAGGGCAAGGGGACTCACGCAGGGTTAGACCGGCAGGTGAGCAGGTAGAAGCAACTCATTATCCCTCTGGTGCTGGCACATCACTGATTCCCCCCTAAAAACATCCTCAGGGCTGCTTTTCTGACCAGGCTCGCTCCAAGGGAAGTAATAGTGCCACTGTATTCTGCTCTGGTCAGACCTCACCTGGAGTACTGTGTCCAGTTCTGGGCACCACAATTCAAGAAGGACACTGACAAACTGGAACGTGTCCAGAGGAGGGCAACCAAAATGGTCAAAGGCCTGGAAACAATACCTTATGAGGAATGGCTAAGGGAGCTGGGCATGTTTAGCCTGGAGAAGAGGAGGTTAAGGGGTGATATGATAGCCATGTTCAAATAGTATATAAAAGGATGTCACATAGAGGAGGGAGAAAGGTTGTTTTCTGCTGCTCCAGAGAAGCGGACACGGAGCAATGGATCCAAACTACAAGAAAGAAGATTCCACCTAAACATTAGGAAGAACTTCCTGACAGTAAGAGCTGTTCGACAGTGGAATTTGCTGCCAAGGAGTGTGGTGGAGTCTCCTTCTTTGGAGGTCTTTAAGCAGAGGCTTGACAACCATATGTCAGTTGTGCTCTGATGGTGTTTCCTGCTTGGCAGGGGGTTGGACTCAATGGCCCTTGTGGTCTCTTCCAACTCTATGATTCTATGATTCTATGATTCTATGATTCTATGATTCTAGTTTCACAAGCTGACATGGCAGTGGGCAGTGGCAGTAGGGGAATTAAAAATAGCTGACAGTGGCACTTGCAAAGCAGAATCAGTGAGCAGGGATAAGGATAAGCACCTCTTCTTCTGCCCACCAATTCTCCCCAAAAACACTGGACAAGTTAAGCACAGGATTGGGATCCCTGTGTTTCCTTCGTTACTTCTAGTGCTGCACGCAAAGATACTTTTGAGCAAGCATACTGTAGATTTCGGGTGGCGCTGTGGTCTAAACCACAGAGCCTAGGACTTGCCGATCAGAAGGTTGGCAGTTCGAATCCCCGCAACGGGGTGACTTCCCGTTGCTCGGTCCCTGCTCCTGCCAACCTAGCAGTTCGAAAGCATGTCAAAGTGCAAGTAGATAAACAGGTACCGCTCTGGCGGGAAGGTAAACGGTGTTTCCGTGCGCTGCTCTGGTTCACCAGAAAGCAGTTTAGTCATGCTGGCCACATGACCCAGAAGCTGTATGCTGGCTCCCTTGGCCAATAAAGCGAGATGAGTGCCGCAACCCCAGAGTTGGCCACAACTGGACCTAATGGTCAGGGGTCCCTTTGCCTTTACCTTTTACTGTAGATTTCACACTTCCAACATCTCAGCTCTTGTGACTTGTGAATGAACACAAAATAAATTCCAAGGAACATCAACTCCTAAGAGCTAAACAATCGCATTCTGTACCCAGATTATATGGTGCCAATTAAGACAACAATGCAGTTTTTCCTACTCTGAACATTTCTGGCTGCATTGAAATTGCCTTTTCCTGCCACGAAATGGCAGTTATTATTTATTTTAAAAAACCTTTTGTAGAAACTTGGGGGAAGGGTGCAAAAGCAATATGTTAGAAACATTACAGATGAATGCTATTCGTATTCCTAAACAGCAAGTTTTCAGCAGTTTGTTGCTAATGACTTCTAAGGCTTTGCAAATCCCCTCCCCTCCGGTTGCTAAGCCTTAGGCTGCCAGACCCCTCTGTGTGACATCACAGCAGCTAAGCCAGGCATAGGCAAACCCCGGCCCTCCAGATGTTTGGGACTACAATTCCCATCATCCCTAGCTAACAGGACCACTGGTCAGGGATGATGGGAATTGTAGTCCCAAACATCTGGAGGGCCGGAGTTTGCCTATGCTTGCGCTAAGCCAATGGCAGCCAAGGTGATTGTGACTCGTCCAACCTCACTTCCAGTATCAGAGTACCACAATCATTCACTACTGGAGAATATCAATCACCTCTGTGCTAGTATGTTATTTTGGAAATATAAAAGAAGAGAAAAATATTGTATGCAAATGTGGGGCACTTCTACAGTGGTACCTCGGGTTACAAACACCTTGGGTTCAAACGCCGCTAACCCGGAGGTAGTACCTCGGGTTACAAACTTTGCCCCAGGATGAGAACGAAAATCGCATGCCGGTGGCACGGCGGCAGCAGGAGGCCCCATTAGCGAAAGCGCGCCTCAGGTTAAGAACAGTTGTGAGTTAAGAATGGACCTCCGGGATATTTGTAGAATAAATTGGAAAGAAATTCTTCCAATTTTTCTTCTTCTTCCAATTTTTCTTCTTATTTTTTCTTTTTCTTTTCTTCCTTTTTTCTTTTTTGTTCTTTTTTATATATGTGCGCTTATCTGAAAAATATATGTATGCATGTATTTGTATGTATTTTGCTTGTATTTTGTGATAATTATGTTAAATAAAATTTAATTAATAATAAAAAAATGGCCCTCTGGAATGAATTAAATTCGTAACCTGAGGTACCAAGAGGCAGTGTGGTGTAGTGGTTAAGAGTCTCGGACTCGTAATCTGGTGAACCGGGTTTGCGTCTCCGCTCTTCCACATGCAGCTGCTGGGTGACCTTGGGCTAGTCACACTTCTTTGAAGTCTCTCAGCCCCATTCACCTCACAGAGTGTTTGTTGTGGGGGAGGAAGGGAAAGGAGAATGTTAGCCGCTTTGAGACTCCTTCGGGTAGTGATAAAGCGGGATATCAAATCCAAACTCTTCTTCTTCCACTGTACTCACTAGAGAGCCAACAAGAAATCGAGCTTCCATTCTGGGATTGGGGCTCATAACTCTTACCTCCACTTTTCCTTCCCCGCTATCTACCATTCTCTCCTGGGCTGCCAACTCTGGTCGGGCGTGCAAGAGGGTGGCATCAAATTTCTCTTGGGCGACCTTAGCTGGAAAGGAAACATCTGTCAAAGGGAGGAAGCAGCTGGCATCCATCAGAACGAGGTTTTGCCAAGTGGGGGTCATGATCCCTTGGGCCTGGAGACAAGTACAAGGGTCGCAACAAGGCTAGGAGAAATTGCAACCTCTTGGCCAAAATTGCTGAAAACCTAAAGATCCTAATCATCCTAATAATGATAATAATAATAATTTATTATTTATATTCTGCCCATCCGGATTTCCTTGACGTCTGATGAGAGGGTGTTCCACAGGGTGAGCGCCACTACCCAGAAGGCCCTCTGCCTGGTTCCCTGTAACCTCACTTCTCGCTGTGAGGGAACTGCCAGAAGGCTCTCAGAGCTGGACCTCAATTTCCAGAACGATGGGGGTAGAGACGCTCCTTCAGGTATACTGCGTCGAGCCTGTTCAGGGCAGGCTTCCTCAAACTCGGCCCTCCAGATGTTTTTGGCCTACAACTCCCATGATCCCTAGCTAGCAGGACCAGTGGTCAGGGATGATGGGAACTGTGTCTCAAAACATCTGGAGGGCCAAGTTTGAGGGAGCCTGGTTTAGGGCTTTAAAGGTCAGCACCAACACTTTGAATTGTGCTCGGAAACTTACAGTGGTACCTCTGGAGATGAATGGGATCTGTTCCAGGACCCCATTCATATCCAGAGCAGAACGCAACCAGCGTCTGCGCATGCGCGGATCGCGATTCGCCACTTCTGCGCATGCGCGTGATGTCATTTTGAGCGTCTGTGCATGCGCGACTGGCAAAACCCGGAAGTAATGCATTCCATTACTTCCGGGTCCCCACACAGAGTGCATTACAGTAGTCCAAACGGGAGATAACTAGAGCATGCACCACTCTGGCAAGACAGTCTGCGGGCAGGTAGGGTCTCAGCCTGTGTACCAGGTGGAGCTGGTAGACAGCTGCCCTGGACGCAGAATTGACCTGTGCCTCCAGACAACGGCAACTGGGAATGACAGAATGCAAACCAGAATTGGCCTGAACCAGGGATGGAGAGGGAGGTGTCTACGCAGCTCCTTGCCAATGGCCCAAAGGATCCGAGGCATGTCTCTGCACATCCTTACCAATTTTGCCAACGTTGTAGGTTCTTCCTAGCCCCACAGTCTGGTCCTGGACTGTCCATTTCTGGAACAGCTGCTTGAACATGGCTGACTCTGCCCCGTCATGAACCGTCTCCAGGTTAGTGCTCGGAGGGTAGCCTTTCATCTGAACGAATTCCTGTAGCGAACAAGCAAGCAAGCAAGCAAGCAAGGAAGGATAGGCTTTGGGTCCTGCCTCTAGCACAGGTTTCCTCTGCAGCCTTCAGCATGTTGCTACTGAAAGAGAACCAGTGTGGTGTTGGACTAGGAACTGGGAGGTAAAGGTAAAGGTAAAGGGACCCCTGACCATTAGGTCCAGTCGTGGCCGACTCTGGGGTTGTGGCGCTCATCTCGCTTTATTGGCCAAGGGAACTGTCGTACAGCTTCCGGGTCATGTGGCCAGCATGACTAAGCCGCTTCTGGCGAACCAGAGCAGCGCACGGAAACACAGTTTACCTTCCCGCTGGAGTGGTACCTATTTATCTACTTGCATTTTGATGTGCTTTCGAACTGCTAGGTTGGCAGGAGCAGGGACCAAGCAACGGGGGCTTACCCCGTTGCGGGGATTTGAACTGCCAACCTTCTGATTGGCAAGTCCCAGGCTCTGTGGTTTAACCCACAGCGCTACCCGCATCCCCAGGAACTGGGAGACCAGGCTCCAAATCCCCAGTCACCATCTCTCAGCCTAATTCATCTCCTCACAGTGTCGTTGTGAGGATAAAATTGGGAGCGAGAGAAGCACCCGTGCCACACTGAATTCCTTGGACATAAATGCAAAGGTGGGGACATAAAAGTGAAAAATAGATTTACAGCAGGGACAGTGAAACTCCGGACTGCCGGCTAAATGTGGTTCTACAGCTTATTAAAAACTGAGCTTGGGGGAAGAATAACAATCCCAGTAAATCTTCCGTTTCTGCCAACAGGCCTCAAATAAGCCACAGCAACTGCAGTCAGGCTGTGTGTTTTATGGTGGTTTGACAACCATGTTAAGCAATTACTGGCAGCAGCAAGAGGAGGGGGCGGCTGGAAGGGAAGTTAGCGCACCCTAACAAAAGCTCCTTAAAGGCATCTTCCACATATCCTCCGAAAGGCTAAATAAGGATAGTGACAAATACTAGAAAACAGGCAGTCCCTGGTAAATTGGAACATGCAAAACTGGTTCACCTTCCAACCTTGCATTTTTTAAAAGAATTATATACACATCTTTCTGTCTCTGCATTTCCCATCTGCATACGACTGGGGCATTTAAAATTATAACAAAATTGCAGCTTAGCTGAATTCTCGTGCCATACCAAGGCCTTAGACATGGCTGTTTGCTTCTCCATCTTAGAGGCTCCTTTGCCCTTCCAGACGTAGATTTTCATCCCGCCGTGATCCAGAATGTAGCAGTCCTAAGGCACAAATGAGAAGTTTAGGATTAGCACAAGAAGAATTTCTCGCAGCTCCCCGATTGGTTTCATGTGTTTCAGTGTAAAATGGGCGATAACTATAAATCCTTGGTTCCCCACCCACCTCTTACGTAAACAGGCAAGAGGAATGTCTCAACCTGAGGCTGATGACAGGGGAAGAGAATCGTGACAAGATTTAAAAAAAAAAAAAATGTTGGGAGAGGCAATCTTATGCTTCTGACAATGGCCAGCAGCTGCCACTCTAGCCCAGCTGTCTCAGGTTGCTGGCTAGTCAATTCACATGTGGCTTCTGAATGCCATCCACGTCTTATGGCCAGCAGGTGGGGAAAGCAGAAGAAACACATGTGGCAGATTTACATGTGGTCTGATAGTAGAGCAGGCATGTCCAAAGCCTGTTTTGTCGGTCGATTTATTTCCTGGGGTTGGTTTATTTCCTGGGATAAAAAGCTAAACAAATCACAAATCCAATCCTAAAAAAAGCAACAACAAGTTTGGGGTAAAATCATAAAAAGTTCAACAACTTCAATCTTAAAGTTGAACTCACGGCCCTTCACTTCATCAAATCTGGCCCTCTTTGGTAGTAGAGTATACTGGGGCTGTGCACACACTATGAAAGCACACTCAAAAGACATTCTTTCCGTCAATTCTGGGCACTGCGGTTTACAAATGGCAATTTCCAGCAATCATTAACGAACTACAGTGCCCAGAATTCTTTGAGGGAAAGAATTGTGGTGTGTGAGAGCCATTTATGGGTTTCAGGAAATGTTTCCAAGAATATGTACTCAGAATTGAGTACAGGCAGCTCCCATTTTGCACACATTCAAGGCATGTGCGACCGCTGACACTCACACTGTTTTCGGTCCTGGAAGGTGCAGGGGCAGGGACAGGATGGGGCAGGCGTATGCGCAACCCACCAATGACCTGGAACGCAACCCATGCGTGAATGGGAAGTTGCCTGTACAAGGTTGCAACCACAAGTGATTTATTCCGTAGAATTACAGCAATCTCAGTGTAAACGGTTTGTGGATTGCAGCTGCTAGGGGTGCAAAGAGGCAGCGATTTCTCTTCCATCCTGAGTTTATTGCGACCAGCACTGTTTCAGTTGGGCTGCAGGTTGGCTTCTGCTATAACCTACATTGCTTAACCAAATTAATTTCAGTGGAAGGGAAATACAGAAAACAACACAGTTGTTTATGTAATGTTTGCAGGCTAAAAAACCTGCAGCGAAACCACTCGTTTTTGCTTGCATGGTTTCTGTTCCTGACCTCCAAGGAACACGTGAATCAAAGCAATTTCCATTTCTGTTTCTGACTGATTTCTCAAACACCCCTAACAGCTACAGGCTTGGTTTTTAACATGGGCATTAGAAGAAGAAGAGTTTGGATTTGATATCCCACTTTATCACTACCAGAAGGAGTCTCAAAGTGGCTAACATTCTCCTTTCCCTTCCTCCCCCACAACAAACACTCTGTGAGGTGAGTGAGGCTGAGAGACTTCAGAGAACTGTGACCAGCCCAAGGTCACCCAGCAGCTGCATGTGGACGAGCGGGGAAGCGAACCCGGTTCACCAGATTACGAGTCTACTGCTCTTAACCACTACACCACACCGAGGCCCCTGAAGAACGCACATCCCCATTTCGGACTTACATCATGGCTCAGTATATCCTGTATGAGGGGCCGTTTGGCTTCTTCTGTGACTTGCATTTTCCCTTCGGAGTCCGAGACACTAGAAGAGAGGCAAGAGGGAGGGAGGAAGAGAGATTTGTCTGCTCTTTCGCTTCCGCGTTCAACAGATTGGCCAACTCCCCCAAACATTTCCTCTAAAGTCCCCCTAAAATTTTACTTGTCTCCCTTCAAGTCCCTGTCCCTCCTCAAGTGACTACATGTTTTCATGTTCATCATTCAATAGCTGCAATGCCAACTGATATGTGAAGGACAGCCATCACATCAAATATCACACCTCCACATCGCAATGCTTTTTCACAAATTCTGCTGCAAATCATGGAATGGGCAAGTCATTGAGTGATGCACATGTTTGCGTGAATCCACCCAAAGACTTGCCACCACCCAAGGGAACCATCATTTATTTGCTTCGGTCAACCAGATCACATTGAGACTATTACTATTCATAAAGACTGATCTCAGTACCATGTTGAGGCTTTGCCTCTTCTTGCCGCTTCCTGGCGGGGGGGCTGCCCACCTCTTTCCTCCCCCGCTTCCTCTTCCCCAGCAGCTTCCAAAATGTCCCCTTCTCCTAGCTCTGCTAGCAGGCGGGATTTTTGAAAGCAAAAAGGGGAACCTTATTTTCCTTCTTTCAGTCTATTCTATGGGCACTAAATACCGTATTTTTCGCTCTATAAGACGCACCAGACCAGTTTTTGGAGTTTTTGGTGTTTTTGGAGGAGTTTTTGGAGGAGGAAAACAAGGAAAAAAAATTCTGAATCTCAGAAGCCAGAACAGCAAGAGGGATCGCTACACAGTGAAAGCAGCGATCCCTCTTGCTGTTCTGGCTTCTGAGATAGCTGTGCAGCCTGCATTCGCTCCATAAGATGCACACACATTTCCCCTTACTTTTTAGGAGGGAAAAAGTGAGTCTTATAGAGCAAAAAATACTGTACCTCTTTCACTCCCCTGCTGCATCAGTGACAACTGCCACTGAGCTTCGCATGCAAAAGGGAAGTCTTATGGACGTACCGATAGAGTGAGACGTTTGTCTTCCGCTGCTGATCCACCACCTCATCAGGAATGGCAGGCTGGATTTCCTGCAACCTCTCCCCAAGCTCGTTCTCCATCACCTTCATCAAGTCTGGACTGGCTTCTTCCACCTCGCCCTCCACCACCCCGATCTCAGCCCGGCCCCCACGCTCTCGGTCGCGGATATCTTTGGCCAGAAGCATCGCCTAAGGAACACATGAGGAGCACAGGAAACAGCCCATGACCAAATCAGACCACGTAGTCCATCTAACAGTCTTGCCCACGCTGGAGATGTCAGAGATTTAACAAGGGGGCCTCTGAAATGCATGGCCTGTGCTCTGAGCTGTGGCCCTTCCACACTACTCATGTGTATACATGTATGTTTAGTTTCAGAAGTTTTAAATGCTCTGTGGCTCGGTTTACACCAGTTTCCCAAACTCCAGCTGTTATTGGACTACAACTCCCATCATCCTTAGCTACAGGACCAATCAGGTCAGGGATGATGGGAGTTGTAGTCCAAGACCCAAGTTTGGGAAATCCTGGTCTACAATGTTAACTCTATAGGATTTAATCTGCACATGCAGAAGAATTGAGGAGTTGTTATTGTTGTCAGCACTTAATTACTATTACTCCTGGTGGAGTATAGGGTCAGATTCAATGTGCTGGTCTTGACCTTTAAAGACCTTTGTGACTTAGGGCCCTCGTATTTATGGAACCAACTCTCCTGGTATGCCCCGCAGAGGACCTTAAGGTCCATGAATGACCATAGTTTAGAGGTCCCGGGCCCTAAGGAAGTCAGACTATCCTCCACCAGGGCCTTTTCAGTGAGTGCTCTGACCTGGTGGAATGCTCTGTCCCATGAGACTAGGGCCCTTCAGGATTTAACCTCCTTCCATCGGGCCTGTAAGAGAGAGCTATTCCGACTGGCCTTTAATTTGAATTCAGCCTGATCTTTTATTTCCCTTCTCTTCCCTCCCCCTCCCCTTTTATGAAGATTACCCGCTCTGAGACCCCACAGCTAAATCTCCCCTGGCCTCCTCACTGGCCCAAGTAGGACAAATTCAGCCAGCTAGCCCTGGTGATTATCTAATGCTTATTAGATGGATTTCCCCTAAATTGATTTCTGAACTTTGAATTTTATTGTTATTCATGTTTTTATACTGTATTTTATGCTGCTTTTACAATGAAGTGTTTTAAATTTGTTTTTAGCCGCCCTGAGCCCGGTTTTTGAACCAGAAAGCATGGGGTATAAACAAAAAAATATTATTTATTATTACAATTCAAACTGATCAGCCCACAACAAACAAATGCTGCCAGCCTTCTTCTTTTCCCTGCTCCTACTTTGTCTTCCTCTTAGCAAAGAAACTCTTAAAGCATCAAAAAAATGTTTTCCTTCCATGAGTCCAGTAATTGCAGCTTGATGTTGATGGTGCGGAATATGGTGATCAGGATTGTGGCACAAAGTAAAAGCTTTAGACCAGCCTTTCTCAACCTCTCTGTGGCTCGGTCTACACCCCAGTTTCCCAAACTTGGGTCTCCAGATGTTGTTGGACTACAGATCCCATCATCCCTAGCAAGCAGGATCAGTGGGCAGGGATGATGAGAGTTGTAGTCAAGCAACATCTGGAGAACCAAGGCTAAGAAGGTTGGATGGTTGGATGGCGGCTAACAGATTGAGGTTGAATCCTGACAAGACAGAAGTACTGTTTTGGGGGACAGGAGACGGGCAGGTGTGGAGGATTCCCTGGTCCTGAATGGGGTAACTGTGCCCCTGAAGGACCAGGTGCACAGCCTGGGAGTCATTTTGGAGTCACAGTTGTCCATGGAGGCGCAGGTTAATTCTGTGTCCAGGACAGCTGTTTACCAGCTCCATCTGGTACGCAGGATGAGACCCTACCTGCCCGCGGACTGTCTCGCCAGAGTGGTGCATGCTCTGGCTATCTCTCGCTTGGACTACTGCAATGCGCTCTACGTGGGGCTACCTTTGAAGGTGACCCGGAAACTACAACTGATCCAGAATGCCGCAGCTAGACTGGTGACTGGGAGTGGCCGCCGGGACCACATAACACCAGTCTTAAAAGACCTACATTGGCTCCCAGTATGTTTCCGAGCACAATTCAAAGTGTTGGTGCTGACCTTTAAAGCCCTAAACGGCCTTGGTCCAGTATATCTGAAGGAGCGTCTCCACCCCCATCGTTCTACCCGGACACTGAGGTCCAGCGCCGAGTGCCTTCTGGCCGTTCCCTCACTGCGAGAAGCCAAGTTACAGGGAACCAGACAGAGGGCCTTCTCAGTAGTGACGCCCTCCCTGTGGAATGCCCTCCTACCAGATGTCAAAGAGAACAGCTACCACCAGACCTTTAGAAGACATCTGAAGGCAGCCCTGTTTAGGGAAGCTTTTAATGTTTGATGTATTATAGTATTTTAATATTTTTTTGGAAGCCGCCCAGAGTGGCTGGGGAAGCCCAGCCAGATGGGCGGGGTATAAATTATAAATTATTATTATTATTATTATTATTATTATTATTATTATTATTCTTAGAAAGACTGTTTTAGACTGTTAAAAAACAACACCTCCAAACCTGGTGTGCCCACTTTAACATGTAGTTTGGCCCTCAGTCAGAAGCTCAAGGAAGTATAAACTTAAGACAGCGCCTCCTGCTAGAGCTCACACCTTCATGCGCTCCTGCTTGTTGCTCTGAGGCCCATTCCATTGCACAATGACTTTGCCAAGGTCCAGTAGGAAAACGTCGCCGACATTGAAGCTGTTCCAGCTCATCTCCACCTGCGAGTGTTGAAGGCAGAAGACAGGGGCAGGGAAGAGAGGGAAGCGGTGAGTTAGAGCAAGCCAACCAGAAGCTGAGGGCACTTTCAGACGGGGCGGGGGGCGGGGGGGGGAGGAACAACTCACCTCTGCAGCTATCACATTCCTCTTGCCCTTGACGTGCAACAGACGCTTGACGTTGTAGACATTGGTCTCCACGTGGTTCAGCCCAGACGCAACACCCCCTTTCTTGTAGCTGTTTGGGGGAGAGGGGTGTGAGAACTGTGCAGGCTACATGCTCCAGAGAATTAGGAATGATCACTTGTGACTTCCAGCTACGGAGAACTAGCAAAGGATGAGCAGAGAAATATCCAACCAATGCTGTGGTAATCATTTCACTGTGGCTTCAGATTTTAATCAATCAGTTAGATGTATTGATTTTAAAGTGTGTGTGTGTGTGTGTGCGCGCGCGCATCAGACAGACAGACAGACAGACAGACAGACAGTGACATCTCGGTTTTTGGTGTCTTGGAAGCTGAACGTTTTGGTTTTCGAACGCTGAAAGCCTGGAAGTAAATGCTTCCGTTTTCGAACGCACCTTGGAGGTCAGAACAGCTTCCACTGAGTTTTTTTCAATTTTCCCCATTAAATTTGCAGGCCGCCCTTTGCGCCTCTGTTTTCAAACGTTTTGGAAGCTGAACGGTCTTCCGGAATGGATTACGTTCGAAAACCGAGGTACCACCGTAACACCAATCAGGGACACCATCTCACCCTCAGAATTGTGGGTGCCCATCACCGTAATGAGGGCTCTTCCAAAAACGCAATTCCGTGGGGAGGAGCTCAGATGTGGAGGCAGAGAGCCTCTTCCTCTGCATCTGAGCCCCCACAAAAAAGAATCCAGAAAAGGGTGCCTCACCCGCTGGCTGCACAGGGCAGAACTGGACTGCTTCTCTCTCGGATACAGTACCACAGAGGCTGACTGGCTGCCTCTCTCTGGCTTTCCTCATTGACTTTGTGGGTGCCTGGCTCCCACAGTTATATTATTGTGGGTGACCAAGCACCCTGGTCCCCTGGAGTTGGCTCCTATGACCCCAATTAATCATACAACACGCTTAAACGCTTGGCTATTTTTAATATACCATATTTTACACCCTATAGGGCGCACCGGCCCATAGGGTGCACTTATTTTGGGGGGGGGTTTAAAAATATTATTTCCCCCCTGAGCCCCAAAGAGCAAAGAAGCCATGACAGCGAGCGGGATGGGAACCCCCGCCGGGCTCGCAAGGCTTGCGGACATCTGCCCTAAGCCCAGGGTGCTCTCGCTCTCCAGGCTTCAGCGAAAGCCTGCATTCGCCCCATAGGACGCACACACATTTCCCCTTCATTTTTGGAAGGGAAAAAGTGCGTCCTATAGGGCGAAAAATACGGTACTTATAAGAACCATGGTTGCCGGGTGCCATCTTGGAAGACACAGGCGGGAACGTGCTTCTGCCAAGACCGTGGCTTCTGTGACACATCCATGCAACATCTAAAACAAAAGGGGGGGGGGCTTTCCTACCGCTTCAAAACTATTATTTTGTTCATATGCAGATTTAGGCTCCCATCCTAAGCCTGTTCTGCTGAGAGCAAGCATCACTGGGTCTTCCTTCTGAGTAAGAAAGCATAGGATTGCACTGTCAACCCAGTTAATGTTTTTTTTCAATGAGTAAACAATTTAAGGGGATGTGGGTGGCGCTGTGGTCTAAACCACAGAGCCTAGGGCTTGCCGATCAGAAGGTTGGCGGTTTGAATCCCTGCTACGGGGTGAGTTCCTGTTGCTCAGGAACTCTGCTCCTGCCAGCCTAGCAGTTCGAAAGCACGTCAAAGTGAGGACTATATGGAACTGGCGGAAATGACTGGCAGAATCCGAGACCAGGGAGAAGAGTCGGTGGAAGAAGATTGGAAGAAATTTAAAGACTATTTACAGAAATACTGCAAAATTAATGAATGTTCAAAATGATGTCAGAATGAAGTTAAGTGGTTTTAGCAGCAATGTTATAAAGGTGTATGTAAAAATGGATTGTTAACAGGTGAGAATTCAAAGTTATAATATATTAAGTTAAAGGATTAAGACAAAAACAAAGAGGGAAAGGAATTGCTGAATTAACTAATTGAATTGGAATACAAAAAAGGGAGGTGTGAGGAGGTCAGGGAAGCAAGGAAATGAAATGTAAGGCATGGAAAGATTGATTTGTTTTTAAGTGTTTTTTATTTTTTTTATCTGTATTTTGTACTTTTTCTTTTCTTTACTTCTTTCTTTTTTCTCCTTATCTGTGTAATCTTTTTTTTGAAACCTTAATAAATATCATTAAAAAAAAAAAAAACAATGAAAGCACATCAAAGTGCAAGTAGATAAATAGGTACCGCTCCGGCGGGAAGGTAAACGGCGTTTCCATGCGCTGCTCTGGTTCGCCAGAAGCGGCTTAGTCATGCTGGCCACATGACCCAGAAAAACTGTCTGCAGACAAACGCCGGCTCCCTCGACCAGTAAAGCGAGATGAGTGCCACAACCCCAGAGTCATCCGCAACTGGACTTAATAGTCAGGGGTCCCTTTACCTTTAAACAATTTAAGACGTCTTTATAAGATTCCTGCTGCTGCGGTAACCAGCCTAAAGGCAAGGTCCATGGAAAATGGTTGAGGCAGCAAGTTAAATGACGGGGATTTTAAGGATGCTTCGGTTTTGGCTCATACAAAAGGATTTCCTTTTAAAAGCAAGAAGGGTTGGGGAAATTTCCGCGGCAACATGAAGCAAATATATGGCACTTTTCAGTAGGTAGGAACTTCAGCCCAGCAGAGACTTGGCGCTTTATCCCCATCTAGTGGAGTTAATAGGTAATGCAGAGTTCTTGGTGCTCAGCCAGACTACCGTATTTCTTTCTTTATTACATTTATATACCAAATTTATTACATTTATATGCCACCTTTTCATCCAAGGAGCTCAAGTAAGCAAGAATTTTGTTAGCCAAAAATTGGAAACTACAAGAAATACCAACAGTGGAGGAATGGCAGATGAAGATGATGGACTTTTTGGAGCTGCCTGACCTGACTGGAAGAATCCACGAACAGAAAGAGGATGAGTATCAAGAAGAATGGAAGAAATTTAAGGACTATTTAGTTAAATATTCTAAGATAACATAAGTAGAACTACTTGTAAGTACCAAATTGGCCTAGGAGTTAAATATGTTAAACTATATAACATTATGGATAGAAGACAATATGAAAAGAAAGAAAGATGTTAATTGATTAAGTTAATCTTATTTAAAAGTAGTACTGGAAAACTGCTACAATGAGTTATATGGAAACTCAGCTAGGGGGATTCGAGGAAGTCATCTATGATAACAAAAGTGGGATTTTAACAATTAGGATAAATGTTTGTTTTCTTCTTTTATATTGTAATGTAATGTTTTTCTTTTATGTTTGTTATAAATTTGGAAAACTAATAAAAAGATTTGGGGGGGGGGAAAGGAGCTCAAGGTGGTGTAACATGGTTCTCGCCTCCCCGCTATCTCATCCAGTGTGGTGTAGTGGTTGAGAGCGGTAGTCTTGTAATCTGGGGAACCGGGTTCGCGTCTCCGCTCCTCCACATGCAGCTGCTGGGTGACCTTGGGCCAGTCACACTTCCTTGAAGTCTCTCAGCCCCACTCACCTCACAGAGTGTTTGTTGTGGGGGAGGAAGGGAAAGGAGAATGTTAGCCGCTTTGAGACTCCTTAAAGGGAGTGAAAGGCGGGATATCAAATCCAAACTCTTCTTCTTCTTCATCACAACAAACCTGAGAGACAGTGACTGGCCCAAGGTCACCCAGTGAGCGTCTTGGCAGAGTGGGGACTCAACATTTTAAGCAGGGGGGGGCACTTACTTCTGAAGTAGATTTGAGGAGGGGGCACATGGGGGGAGGAGAGGGAGGAGAAGCTCAGTTGGGCAAATGGAAATCATTCCAGTCACTGGCGTACGAAGGGGGAGGCGGGAGAACACAGCGCACCTGGTACCATTTGGGGAAAGGGTGCCATCGCGGCTGCCCCCCCAAGGCACATGCCACGCCCCTGCGAGCGATGCGCCACGCCCCCACAAGTGACGCGCCACGCCCTTGGGACGCACACCAGCCATGCCCCCGCCTGTTCTCCGCTCCAGGGCCTGCAGCATGTTGCTCCACCACTGCTTCTGCTAATGGTTGTACTTTGTCAGCCACAGTGAGAAAGCAAAGCCCATCAGCTTTCAGTGAGAAGATGCACACCAGCACCTGCAGAACATGAGATGTCAGAGTTTGCCCCACACCGGGCACCTCGGGCTCATGCACTTATGTGCATATGCTCACTACGAAATATTCCACTAAGGTTCTGTCTTGGGCCCGGTCTTATTCAACATCTTTATCAACGACTTGGATGATGGACTCAAGGGCATCCTGATCAAATTTGCAGATGACACCAAATTGGGAGGGGTGGCTAACACCCCAGAGGACAGGATCACACTTCAAAACGACCTTGACAGATTAGAGAACTGGGCCAAAACAAACAAGATGAATTTTAATAGGGAGAAATGTAAAGTATTGCACTTGGGCAAAAAAATGAGAGGCACAAATACAAGATGGGGGACACCTGGCTTGAGAGCAGTACATGTGAAAAGGATCTAGGAGTCTTGGTTGACCACAAACTTGACATGAGCCAACAGTGTGACGCGGCAGCTAAAAAGCCAATGCAATTCTGGGCTGCATCAATAGGAGTATAGCATCTAGATCAAGGGAAGTAATAGTGCCACTGTATTCTGCTCTGGTCAGACCTCACCTGGAGTACTGTGTCCAGTTCTGGGCACCACAGTTCAAGAAGGACACTGACAAACTGGAACGTGTCCAGAGGAGGGCAACCAAAATGGTCAAAGGCCTGGAAATGATGCCTTATGAGGAACGGCTAAGAGAGCTGGGCATGTTTAGCCTGGAGAAGAGGAGGTTAAGGGGTGATATGATAGCCATGTTCAAATATATAAAAGGATGTCACATAGAGGAGGGAGAAAGGTTGTTTTCTGCTGCTCCAGAGAAGCGGACACGGAGCAATGGATCCAAACTACAAGAAAGAAGATTCCACCTAAACATTAGGAAGAACTTCCTGACAGTAAGAGCTGTTCGACAGTGGAATTTGCTGCCAAGGAGTGTGGTGGAGTCTCCTTCTTTGGAGGTCTTTAAGCAGAGGCTTGACAACCATATGTCAGGAGTGCTCTGATGGTGTTTCCTGCTTGGCAGGGGGTTGGACTCGATGGCCCTTGTGGTCTCTTCCAACTCTATGATTCTATGATTCTATTCTATGATTCTATGATTCTAAGGGGGCTGATCCCAGGAGAATTACAGTTCTTGCAAACCATATTAGCAGAACATTAACAAGGCAACTCTCCCAAAATCCCAATACAAGGTACCTTGGTGGTACAGTGGTACCTCGGGTTAAGTACTTAATTCGTTTCGGAGATCCATTCTTAACCTGAAACTGTTCTTAACCTGAAGCACCACTTTAGCTAATGGGGCCTCCTGCTGCTGCTGCTGCGCCGCCGGAGCACGATTTCTGTTCTCATCCTGAAGCAAAGTTCTTAACCTGAAGCACTATTTCTGGGTGAGCGGAGTCTGTAACCTGAAGCGTATGTAACCTGAAGCATATGTAACCTGAGGTACCACTGTATAGAGACGGTGGTTGATGAGGGATAGGTACAAGGAAACTGCAGTGGTTAGGTAATCTTAGAGTCTAAACTTAATAGTTTTACAGGGTGGGGGAACTCCCTAAATGGTAATGTGTATGACTTCACATAAACTGAAGTAACAAGCCAGTCCTACTGTCTTTGCAAGTAAGTTGAACACAGCCCATGGGCTCTTTGATTTTCTGTTGATGCTTCTTAATAATGGTATGTAAACAGCTTTGTGAGGTCCGCCTGAAAAGCTGTGTATAAAGCAAGCACTATATAAAAGATGTATGGAAGTGAGAGCTGGAATATAAAGAAGGCTGATCGCCGAAGAATTGATGCTTTTGAATTACGGTGCTGGAAGAGACTCTTGAGAGTCCCATGGACTGCAAGAAGATCAAACCTCTCCATTCTGAAGGAAATCAGCCCTGAGTGCTCACCGGAAGGACAGATCCTGAAGCTGAGGCTCCAATACTTTGGCCACCTGATGAGAAGAGAAGACTCCCTGGAAAAGACCCTGATGTTGGGAAAGATGGAGGGCACAAGGAGAAGGGAACGACAGAGGATGAGATGGTTGGATAGTGTTCTCGAAGCTACCAGCATGAGTATGAACAAGCTGCGGGAGGCAGTGGAAGACAGGAATGCCTGGCGTGCTCTGGTCCATGGAGTCACGAAGAGTCGGACACGACTAAACGACTAAACAACAACAACATATATATTAAAAAATCAGCCAGGCTTCAAACAGACAGTTTGGTACCTGCTGTCTGTAGCTGGAAATCAAATTATGACAGAGGTGGTGGTCAGAATTGCCTCCACATCTGCCACGCTACTGCAAGTTGTCAAAAGCCTGAGAGTTTGTTATATAACAATCTCTTCCATGTGGAAATGTCTTCGGAAGCACAACATCCACATCAGGAGGAGGCTGCTTTGAATAAGATGTACCGGTAACCGGATTCTGGGAACAAGTAGCATCAGAGAATGGATCTCACTCCTTGCTTAAGAATACTCGTGGGTCATGTGGCTGAGCACCACCAGGAGACAGAATAGTAAAATGGTTTGCAGGTGCATTTGCCTAAATGAACAACATGTTGTTTGCTAAATGATAGGAAACAATCATCTTCTTTATCCACCCTCTGGCAGAACTTTATTCAGAAATGCAAATTTCATTGTATGATTTGTAGGTACTATTACCTGCAAATATAACACCCCTTTGTTTTTAAAGCCTTGCACAAGAGGTGACCACTTTCTCCAGTTTTAAAAGAGGAGAACATCATTTCCCTGTTGATATGTCTGTCAAGAACCCCAAGGGATTTGAGGGATGGGGAAGATAAGTTCATTCACGCTTCTCAAAATGTGTGTTGAAACACAGCGATCCTTGAACTTGGCACCTCTCTGAATAAAACGACGCAGTTCTCCAACAAAAAGCATGTACGAAAATGCATTAAATTGGGGCAAAGTATGTGAAAATGCGCATCTTAATCAAAACAACATACAGAGGTGCACTATTCTGGGGAAAATCTATTTGACCGAATATGTATATTAGGCAAATCTGCATACAAAAGAGAAATGTGCAGTCAAATGCTTTAATTTCATGAGCACTCCCCCCCCCCCCGCAAATTAATGTGGATATGTGATGAAACTGAGGTTGGGAAACTGAGGGAAACTGAAACTGGCAGGCTAGACCCTCCCTGCAGGGATGGCACAACATTGATGGCAGAAGGTGAGGAGGAATTAAAGAACCTTTTAATGAGGGTGAAAGAGGAGAGCGCAAAATATGGTTTGAAGCTCAACATCAAAAAAACGAAGATCATGGCCACTGGTCCCATCACCTCCTGGCAAATAGAAGGGGAAGAAATGGAGGCAGTGAGAGATTTTACTTTCTTGGGCTCCATGATCACTGCAGATGGTGACAGCAGCCACGAAATTAAAAGAAGTCTGCTTCTTGGGAGAAAAGCAATGACAAACCTAGACAGCATCTTAAAAAGTAAAGACATCACCTTGCCAACAAAGGTCTGTTAAAGTTATGGTTTTCCCAGTAGTGATGTATGGAAGTGAGAGCTTGACCATAAAGAAGGCTGATTGCCGAAGAATGGATGCTTTTGAATTATGGTGCTGGAGGAGACTCTTGAGAGTCCCATGGACTGCAAGAAGATCAAACCTCTCCATTCTGAAGGAAATCAGCCCTGAGTGCTCACTGGAAGGACAGATCCTGAAGCTGAGGCTCCAATACTTTGGCCACCTCATGAGAAGAGAAGACTCCCTGGAAAAGACCCTGATGTTGGGAAAGATGGAGGGCACAAGGAGAAGGGGACGACAGAGCATGAGATGGTTGGACAGTGTTCTCGAAGCTACCAGCATGAGTTTGACCAAACTGCTGGAGGCAGTGGAAGACAGGAGGGCCTGGTGTGCTCTGGTCCATGGGGTCACAAAGAGTTGGACACGGCTAAACAACTAAACAACAACAACAGACCCTCCCTGCAGGGAGGCTCAGGCAGCAAAACATCTTGGGCCGGCCATGCCTGGATTGACAAGAAAAGGGCTGCCTGCCGAGATGTTGCCATTCCCATGGCGACCCCTTACTCACATGAGACCTTGCTTGAAGTAGCCCTTGAAGAGCTCAGACTCGTGGCCCTGCACCTCACGGTGTTGCACGGGAACCCCACCGAGGTAGTCGTCCAGCTGGGTGGTATAGATGGCAGCACAGCCCTGCTCGTCCAACGAGGAACGTTTGCCAATCCAGTAGTGGATGTCATAGGACAGGACGCTGCCCGATTTACGGGTCTGCAGGAGGGACAGACGTCATTGGGATAAATACCGTATTTTTCGCTATATAAGACGCACCAGACCACAAGACGCACCTAGTTTTTGGAGGAGGAAAACAAGAAAAAAAATATTCTGAATCTCAGAAGCCAGAACAGCAAGAGGGATCGCTGCGCAGTGAAAGCAGGAATCCCTCTTGCCGTTCTGGCTTCTGGGATAGCTGCGCAGCCTGCATTTGCTCCATAAGACGCACACACGTTTCCCCTTACTTTTTAGGAGGGAAAAAGTCAGTCTTATAGAGCAAAAAATACGGTAAGTACAGTCATAGGGTCCGGGACCCCTGACTTGCACATAATAATAATAATAATAATAATAATAATAATAAATTATTTATACCCCGCCCTCCCCAGCCAGAGCTGGGCTCAGGACGGCTAACACCAATAAAATCACAGTAAAAATATAACAGGGGGAAAAGATGGGGGGAAACCAATTTAAAATACAGGTTAAAATGCCATTTAAAATGCAGCCTCATTTTAAAGTAGCCGATAAATCAAGACCATAAGGGGAGGGACCGAGTCCAAACCAAAGGCCAGGCAGAACAGCTCTGTCTTGCAGGCCCTGCGGAAAGAAGTCAAGTCCCGCAGGGCCCTAGTCTCTTGTGACAGAGCGTTCCACCACATCGGGGCCAGTACTGAAAAGGCCCTGGCTCTAGTTGAAACCAATCTAACCTCCTTGAGCCTTAGGACCTCCAAAGTGTTGTTATTTGTGGACCTTAAGGTCCTCTACGGGGCATACTAGTAATAACCAAAGTCCCTGAATGACTGAGCGCTGAGTTTGCTCCCAGCTTAGAATCCAAACAGCAGGGTTTCCTAAACTTGGGTCTCCAGCTGTTTTTTGGACTACAACTCCCATCATCCCTAGCTAGTGGTTAGGGGTGATGAGAACTGTAGTCCAACGACAGCTGAAAATCCAAGTTTGGAAAACGCTGCCCTGGAGCCATTCCACCCCAAGGCCCACCACTGCTCTTCAACCTTTGCAGCGCATCACTGTCTGAGGCCACTAGCTATGGGATTGTTTTTGTCCATAACAGAAGCTTGGAGTGACCCAGCTCATCTCCTAGGACAGCCTTCTTCAACCTTGGGTCCTCAGACGCTACAGCTTCCATCTTCCCTGACCATTGGCTAAGCTGCCTGGGGATGATGGGAGTTGTAGTCCAACAGCATCTGGGGACCCAAGCTTGAAGAACTGTGTCTTAGCAGATAAAAAGAAGAGGTCCTATTGCTGTGCAGGATGAAGTATGCTGTGTGTAAATGTATTTATCACTCTCTCCAGCAGATGTCATTGCAAACATTAGGCATTCCACTTCTATTCCCCGCCCCCCTTTAATGATCCTGGTTTCCCCTCCAATGTGTGTGGGCAACAGGAAAAGCCTTGCATGTTTACCCCACACTTAGGGGAAGGACTCAGTGAGAGGGTGCATGCTTTGATGGTAGAACGCTCAAGTAACACCCTTGGCACCATGTATTAGTAGGTAATGGGAAAGACTGATGCCCTGCTGATCACAGAAGAACAGGGACGGCACCTCCAGATGTTGTTTGACTCCCATCAGTCCCTGACAATATGGCCAATGGTTAGGAATGATGGGAGCTGTGATCCCCAGATTCCCCAGCCCTGTTGTTCATGTGCATCTATCTGCCAGTGCATGTGGGGTTTGGGTTTTTCGCTTACAAATGCAAATGTTGCCTTTGAGTGCTTGGGATGATGCGCCGGAAGAGAGAATGTTCAGGGACTGGGTTAGTCCACTTGTTATAATAATAATAATTTATTTATACCCCGGCCATCTGGCAGGGTTTTCCCAGCCACTCTGGGCGGCTTCCAAAAAAATATTAAAATACTGTAATACATCAAACATTAAAAGCTTCCCTAAACAGGGCTGCCTTCAGATGTCTTCTAAAAGTTTGGTAGTTATTTTTCTCTTTGACATCTGGTGGGAGGGCGTTCCACAGTACAGGTGCCACTACCGAGAAGGCCCTCTGCCTGGTTCCCTGTAATTTGGCTTCTCGTAGCGAGGGAACCGCCAGAAGGCCCTCGGTGCTGGACCTCAGTGTCCGGGCAGAACAATAGAGGTGGAGATGCTCCGTCAGGTATACTGGGCCAAGGCCATTTAAAGGTCAGCACCAACACTTTGAATTGTGCTCGGAAATGTACAGGGAGCCAGTGTAGGTCTTTCAGGACCAGTGTTATATGGTCTCGGCGGCCGCTCCCAGTCACCAGTCTAGCTGCCGCATTCTGGATTAGTTGTAGTTTCCGGGTCACCTTCAAAGGTAGCCCCACGTAGAGTGCATTGCAGTAGTCCAAGTGGGAGATAACTAGAGCATGCACCACTCTGGCAAGACAGTCTGCAGGCAGATAGGGTCTCAGCTTGCGTACCAGATGGAGCTGCCCTGTTATGGTCTGAAGCAACTGAAATCACCAGCACAGGCAGGACTTTCCTGTTAGCCTGCATGCCCAATTTATTTTAGAACTAAGATATGGGTCAGCAGCTGGCAGACCCTAAACAAATCCCGGCCTCTGAAGGATGGCATTTGGACTTCCCGGCTGCCTCCATTGGAGGCGAATGGGGCATATGGTTGAGTGCCATCTCCAGAAACAGAATTTGGCAGGATGCTGTTGGGGGAACCTGGAGCCTTTTGCCCATCTCAGAGTGGCTTTGCAGCTAAACTAGAGCTGACTGGGGTGATGGAAACCAGTAAGCAAGGATCTCCACTTACCGAGAGGAGGACGTAGCAATCACCTTCGTAGAAGCTGCCATGAGCTTTCGGAGGCACCAACACCAGATCCATTTTCTGGGAAGGAGAAACACAGTACATGAAGCAACCCCCTGCCCCAATTTAGTGGCTTCAGTGACACAGCCTCCAACCATCAATGCTCCCAAACCTCTCTCAGGCATCCCATGGTGATGTAGACAATTTCCTTATTAAATACTTTCAATTTACACTTTCAATTCAAAACAAATGTTTAAAACTTTTTAAAAAAACGTTTCAGACTTATATGAATAAGTAAAGGTAAAGGTAAAGGGACCCCTGGCCATTAGGTCCAGTCGTGGCTGACTCTGGGGTTGCGGCGCTCATCTCGCTTTATTGGCCGAGGGAGCCGGTGTACAGCTTCTGGGTCATGTGGCCAGCATGACTAAGCCGCTTCTGGCGAACCAGAACAGCGCACGGAAACGCCGTTTACCTTCCCTCCAGAGCGGTACCTATTTATCTACTTGCACTTTGACGTGCTTTTGAACTGCTAGGTTGGCAGGGGCAGGGACTGAGGAACGGGAGCTCACCCCATCACAGGGATTCGACCCGCCAACCTTCTGATCGGCAAGTCCTAGGCTCTGTGGTTTAACCCACAGCACCACCCGCATCCCTTGTATGAATAAGTCCTTAAGTCTAAAAAATTGATTAACAGCAGCACCCGGCTCCAAAAATATGACCTTCCCTATCTCCATCCATTGCTGCTGTGTTATACTACAGGGGTCAGCAACCTTTTTCAGCCATAGGCTGGTCCACCGTCCCTCAGACCATGTGGTGGGCCGGACTATTTTTGGGGGGGGGCGGGGGAATGAACGAATTCCTATGCCCCACAAATAACCTAGAGATGCATTTTAAATTAAAGCACACATTCTACTCATGTAAAAACACGCTGATTCCCAGGCTGTCCACGGGCTGGATTGAGAAGGCAATTAGGCCGCATCCGGCCCATGGGCCTTAGGTTGCCAACCCCTGTTAATACTCAGTGGTTGTTGGGGAAAAGAGATGCTCCCTTAGGTATCTTAGGCTTAAGCGATGTGAATTACAGGCAGAACTTGTGGAGTTCCCGTAGTTTCGGTGTAATGTGCTCTAGACAAAATCCAAGCTCGACTAGCTGCAGTTTCTGAACTATCTTCAAGGGCAGCTCCACATAATGCATGTTACAGCAGCCAATCAGTTGCCAGCACATGCAGGATAGAAATTAAGCAAACTGAAGCTTTCAGCAGCAGGTAAGTACAATTATAGGAGTGGTCTCCACCTTTGGAATTTCAGCCTCTCAAACAACTGTTAAAGCTCTGGGGGCCTTATGAGAAAGAAAGATGGCCACCTTGCCTAGCTAGTAAGAGTTACATAGATGGCAGGTTCAGTACTCAAAGTGGAATTAATAACAAGTGAAAAGGTGGTGCCCTGTCAGTTAGGTCCCTACATAGCTTGGGAGAGGAGAGGAACCTTCCGCCTAGACCTGAGAAAATTTCATTGTCCCACCTCAATTCTCCAGATGATCAGTCCAGGTGTGTTGGTAACAGTCTTGAAGGCACTGGTCAGAGCCATGGTGGCTTTCAGTTTTTGGAATACTCAACAAAACCTGAAAAATAAGAACAAACAGGTTAGCCTGTTACCAAGGGCAGAATATGGGGTGCAACTTTGCCACGAAGCTCAGTGAGTGATTTTGAGCCAGACTGAGGTTTTTTTCCACAGAGTTGCTGTAAGGATAAAACGATGAGGGGGTGGAACACACCATGTACCTGAAAGAATGCATCCTTCCCTATGGGCCCTCTCAGTTGCTAAAATTGACAGGGGGGGTGCCTCTTGGTTGTCCCACCACCCTCAGAAGCCCAGGGGATGACCCAGGACAGAGCCTTCTCTGTGGCAGCCCCCTAAGTTGTGGGCTTCCCTCTGCACTGAGTCAGGCACCTTCTTGTATTATGCAGCTTCTGACAAAAGCTGAAGATTAACTTTTTTATCCTAGCTTTTGACCCTTGAGATGTATGTTTTTAGGAACCTTCTTATTTCTGCAGTTTTAAGTTGCTTCTAATATTGTAACCCCCCCTGGGACCTTAAGGTGAAGGGCAGGTAAATAACAACAACAACAATCATGTACTTTGACCTGCGCTCTTTGGAGGTGTTAAGTTGTGGGTGAACATATCAGACGACACAGCGATTCTTCAAACAACTCTTGTTTATTCAGAGGCCAGAACAGAACTGAGCTGAAGGGTTCAGTCAGCCTGCTTATATAGAGCTCCAGTACAACGTTACTGTAGCAACTTTCTAAAACTATCCAATCACTGAACGTCACTTTCGATCCTTCATTTGCATAACTATCTACAGTAGCCCCCTGCTGGCCCAGGGTGAGAACTTCAGTACATAACAGGAGGAAAGGCAGATGGGGTTTCTTCCAACCCAACCTGGAGACGCTGAGAATCGAACCTTGGACCTTCTGCATGCAAACTGGATGCTCTGCCACTAAGCTATGGCCTTTCTGACATTTTCGTTCTCTCTCGGGCATGGAGGGAGCCTCCCAGTTGGCAGGGCTTATCGAAACAGAGACAGGCATGGTTGCTAGAGCACTGCCATTTCTTTGCCACAAAGCCACTTCCGAGCTGGAGAGGAGGTGGGGTTGTGGGCCCACGCCCTCCCAACACACACGGGGGCTGGCTTACAGCCTCTGCGAGAATGAGGGAATCCTCGGGCATGTCAGCTCCCTGCCTAGCCAATCGGCTGGACAGGGAGGCGTGGCCTGGGCTATTTATGCCCGGCGCGCCCAAGGACTGCCCTCTCTTCGCCTCTCCAGCTGATCAACTTCGGTTGGTCGCCGTCAAGGGGCCTGGTATGAATTTTTCCCACTTGGCGAATTGGCACCGGCCATTTGGTTTTTTCACCTACCTCGTAGCAAACGTCACAACTTTCCCGGTATTGGCGGTTAGGCATTGGCAGGGGTATTGTTATGCAAATGAAGTGGGGGGAAGGAAGCGACATCACCTTCCCCAAGCAAAGGGTAGTCTGGTAAAGGATTCCGGGGGACGTTGCCCTGTCCGAAGCCTATGGAGGTGTGGGCCTAAGGCACGCCCCCGAGCGGTGACACCCGGGGGGTCCTAGTTGACGTACTTCAGCAGGACTTCCCCCGCTGGTGGTTAACCCTCACCGGTCTTCATGCAATTGGGCTGAAGCCGGTTAGTCGATAGGAACCAATGCCTAAGCCAATACCTCTCAATTCCTGTAATCAATAAAGTTGTGGCCTTTTACGCCCATTAACCTTAAATAAAGTGTCCTGTGTCTTTATTTCACAAGGGGGGAGGGGGACTTGCCACACAAGAATGGTGTCCACACCATGCACAGTGCCACGCCACATTTTTAAGCGACATAATTTACGCCCCGATTTCCCCTTGCCCTGCCTTGCTCCACAGCCAGGACCAGCTTTTAATGCCTAGCGTTTGCCAGCACGGACTTCCAGATGTTGTTGGACTGCAACCCCCGTCATTCTTGACCACCGGCCAATGCTGCCTGGGGCTGATGGGAGCTGGAATCCTGCACCTGGAGCCCAGCAGGTCCCCAATCTCTGTCCTAGAAGACGGGAAGGAAGAGCAAGAGCGGTGCTGAGCGTGTCCCTACTTCCTTTCCCTCGACTCCGAGTAATCACAGCCAACCCAGTTAAATGAGAGACAGAGAGTAGAGCTTCTCTGGCAAGGATCTCCTAGGCTGGATTGCATGCAATTTTGCCCCAGTAGTTAAAAGCCCCTGGATACACCCTGTTCTCTATGGACACATGCGAGTCTCACTGCACAGGTAGACGGAGCCTTTCTTCTCATCCTTACAGCTGGGGTTCAAGTCACACATATAGAGGACATGCAGATACTTACAAATCAACTGTGAGGCAGTAGATGCTCAGTGCTAGTTCCTCTTGAATGTGGCAGGGAGAGGCACACTCAAAAAGACCAGTAAAGCATTCTGGGAGATGCAAGGGCGGGCAGGATCAGAGCGGCTGAACCCGCAGCGGCAGACTACACCCTCCTCCCCCTTTTCCATAACCCCCAATTGCTCAGTCATTGAAAGCAGATGGTGGGATTTAACAAGAGGAGTAGACCAGTCCTACAGACTCTCGTTTGGGGCCTTGGAGGCATCCCAAAGGCTGGGATTGATTAGCCAGAAACATGCAGGGCTGAGCCAGCTCAAGTTCCAGTGAAACAGGGGAGCCGTTTGGACTTTGCTCTGGAAAGAACTGTCTGGCCCTCTCCTCCTTTTGGCACAGAGGTCTGTGGTTCAGGCCTCCCCACCACCACCACTTCTGAAAGCTGAAGAATCTGCCTTTGCTTTGCGTAAAAACTATAGGGGACCAACACAGATATAGCGGGTGGCTGCACTATAAACCTTTCGCTCCACCGGTGATGTCTGGAGCAATTCCTGTAGCGAAACACACATGGAAATTTTTGCATCAGAGTGGGAAATCCTCCATGTGGATTCTGCAGGGAAGTAGGAAATTCAGAGTCTCCTTGCTTCCTGTTTGTGGATAATTCCTACAGAATATTTGTGGGATTTGCCATTCTTGCATAACAACTAAAAAAAATATGTTCTGGTGCAGTCATCCCAGTAAACTCAACACGGTGTTACCGGAAAAATCTGAGGGCTCCCTTGGACAAAAACAAAGACACCAACCAGGATAACTTGGAGCAAAACAGCAGCCTGTAGGCTTGGCCTTTAATGAACTGTTGCAACAGGGTGCTCCCCTCACTTGCTGGAGAGAGGAAGGACTCAGAAAAATGGTGTGCAAGACCTTATAAAGACTTTTGAAATTGCCATCCTGTAGATCAAGACCACCCCCAGAAACATCATACATACATCACAGAAGGGGTGCAACCTAAGACCACCCTTCACATACATACATCACATAAAGGAGGGGTTGAGGGAGGAGTTGTAGTGGTAACCTGAGTGTCCTGTCACCTGGCTGGTTCCCCCTTTCCCCCTCCCCATGAGTACTTTCCAGGTGACAGAGGGGAGTTTGCAGTTTCCAGCCCCCAGAGGGAAGAGCTGATTATTGTCCTTTGTTCCAGTCCGTGCTGAATCCACTCCCATATGCAAGTTCTTTGTGATCTTGATGGTCTTCTGTCTAGGACCATCAGGGTTGGCATAGCAACTGGGCAGGGCTCCTGTGTATGTACTGGTATGCTCAAGGATTATGGCTGCCCTGTATCAAACCTTCCCCATTTTGTAGTACTTCCTTCATGGAGTAAAATAAAAGTGGAACAGTGCAATTCCGATGTATGGTTGATTTTCTATGAATTTATAACAGAAGCGTAGCGTATGTAGTGTGTGAGTGAGAGTGTGTGTGAAGTTTGTACAAACTGAATGATTTGGGGGGGGGGGGCGGTTCCTGCTACAACAGAAATATAATTTCACGTCACATCAGAACTAACTCACGTGTTAATGTCTCAGTCCAGCAAAGGAACAGCTGCTACATTTGCGCTGGGATTTTCATTTTGGGCTCCATCAAACTTTATGGATGCAATGGCTGGTGTAGGTGAAAATCTCCACTAACTGTGATTACCAACCACAGAGAAGGACTGCAGTCTAGGCGTCCTCTCCAACGCAGTTAACTCTGTGGCCTTATTTCCAGGCCAGGTTTGTCTAATACAGAACCACTCTGTAGCCTTGAACTATGCCAGCTATTCCTGGCAGTGTCAAGAGTAACCATCATGGTCAAGTTGTGACTCCAGGGATGATAGGATTCCATGTTTTTCATGATTTGCTGGTTCAGCCAGGTTATAGATTGCATTCATATAACATATACTGTATTGGCCTGAATATAAGCCTCACTCCCCCCCCCCCCCCAATTTCAACCGTGTAAAGTTAAAGTGTGGCTGAAACTCACAACCTTACAAAAATTGGCTTTTACGGTATCGCTGCTGAAAAAGACATACGGTAAACTGGAACATGTGTGAGTGCCGGCAGAATTTTAAGGGAGCAGCTTATATTTGGGTGCGGCTTATATTCTGGCCAATACGGTAATTCATATAACAGAGTTACATAATGACTCTACCCAGATTTAGTTCATGCCAGGGGTGCCAACTTGAATAAAATATTGGGGGACAGGTAAGCCATGGGTCACAAGGCATGGCATGCACATGCCATTTGCACGGCAATGCCCATCAACTTTGTGGGGGCCTGGCCCCCTCAAATATTTAATGGGGGGGGGGTCGAAGACCCTTCAGCCTAGGCTGCAATCCTGAAACTGTGTGAGATTCATATTCCTTACTGCATTGATATGCACATTGTAATGCATGCTCTTATATCTCACAATGCAAAAGGGATCGTTGAGGATACTTTGCATCCCGATGCCTCTAATTTGTTTAAAATTGTTTCCCCCTCAAAAGCAATCTTTAATCAATAGCACTGGTATTGTCAAAATACCAGTGTCAAAGGTCAGAGGTGGGTGGGGCCAGAGGCAAAATTCGGAGGAGCAATGGCTGCAACAACATACAGTGGTACCTTGGTTTACGAACTTAATCCGTCCCAGAAGTCCGTTCTTAAACCAAAACTGTTCTTAAACTGAGAGACGCTTTCCCTAATGAGGCGTCCCACCGCCAATGCCCTTCCACTGTTCGGATTCCATTCTTAGATGGAGGCAAAGTTCTCAAACCAGGATACTATTTCCGGTTTTGCGAAGTTTGTAAACCAAATCGTTCTTAAACTGGACTGTTCTTAAACCGAGGTACCACTGTACTAGCTTTTACACAAACTCACACACCCTTCTTTCATCTCCCATCCAAGCAAGCAAAGAAGCATTACTGTATAGTCCAAAAGGTGAAGTGTTGTTAAATGTATCTTACAGAGAATATTTTAATAATAATAATAATAATAGGTAAGGGGACCCCTGACCATTAGGTCCAGTCGTGGCCAACCCTGTGGTTGCGGCGCTCATCTCGCTTTATTGGCCAAGGGAGGTGGCGTACAGCTTCCGGGTCATGTGGCCACCATTATTAAGCCGCTTCTGGCAAACCAGAGCAGAGCATGGAAATGCCATTTACCTTCCCACCGGAGCGGTACCTATTTATCTACTTGCACTTTGACGTGCTTTTGAACTGCTAGGTTGGCAGGAGCAGGGACCGAGCAACAGGAGCTCACCAAGGTCGCGGGATTCGAACCGCCGACCTTCTGATCAGCAAGTCCTAGGCTCTGTGGTTTAACCCACAGCGCCACCCGCGTCCTATAATAATAATAATAGGCAGCTAATCCAAGCGATTTCGGACTCACCCTTCTTTTTCAAAGTAAGTTTGTTGTCACTGTTCTGCAGAAAAGTTTCGGAATGGTTTAAGAAGTCTTGGGTGTGGCATCTGGTAATCAGGGAACATGGATAATCCATGGGGACGGGAGGGGGGGCATTTGTTGCCTCTCCCCCAGTGAACCATACTCTCCAGACATCCAGCTTGCTTGCTTTCTTTTATTTCTACCACCTGACATACATTGCAAAATGTACAGCCACAATTAATCTCATTTCTTTTTTGTTTGGTGGAATCTAGACACACATTAAAAAAATGTTGCGAAATGCTTTTTTAAAAAGCCTTTTGAAAAATATATTGCATTTGCCATAAGCTCACCATCACCATCTAGTGTCAGATTTGCATAATGCACTTGAAATGCCCCTAAAGTGTTATATTTTCAGCTGTATAGCCGAGTCCTTTGGGAGAAACTACTGTATTGGCCCAAATATAGGCCGCATCCTCAAATAAGCCACACCTTTAAAACTTGGCGGCTTGGGGGAGGCTTGGGAGCCACGGACGGGACGGGCGCCATTGCCCCACGCTCCGGGGCTGCTTCGCTGGCGGAGTAAGGTTGCAAATATAAGCAGCACTTTAACTTTTCACAATCGGAATTGGGGTGGGTGGGGAGTGTGGCTTATATTCAGGCCAACACGGTAGGCAGTTCCCCACTCCAGAAAAATTCCCTGCAGAGAACCATGTTGAAGTGCCCACTGCTGTAGCTCCTAACCCTTCAGTGTGCTCACAGTAGCTCTTCCTTCCTTCCTATCGCTGTTGTGTAAATATTCTGCAGTCTGTAAAATGTCCATACTGTAATCAGAATAAACATAGCGCAAATGCAGAATTTGAGTTTCCTTGTCATTGGAATATGTGTGTGTGTGTGTGTGTTTTGTTTAGGGCCAGAACACAATCAGCCAGCCCTCATCCGAGAACATTCACTTTATTCCAAAATGCAGCAATCGTCTTGGCAGCTGTAATAGAACCACTAATTGACTTAACTTACAATCTGCTGCCTGTGATGTCACCTAATGGATGCCCAGAGTCACTGACTCATACCAGGTAGCCAGACAAGAACACGAAACTGGGGAGACAAGCTTTGCCCAAGGAAAATGACTTCATTGCCAGGCTTCAGCCCTGGAATATGCGAATCGTGACTTCTGAGTATGTACAGAGTGCCTTTCGATTACCACCAAGGAACCTGTCTTGTCTGGCAGACATGAGCTGTATAAATATTTTTTTAAAAAAACAAAAAACCTCTGCTCAGCTGGAAAGCTGTCTCATCTACCTGACAGGACTGTCGTGAGAAGATGAAAACTTAGTCTCTGTCACCCTATGCTCCCTGGATGAAGGCCAAGATACAAATAAAATTCTCTTCAGCTCAGCCGTTTTCTTAAAGGTCCAAATAAATTTCAGAAATCTGGGGTTGAAATCCCATGCGCAACTGGGAGTAACTTAGGGGTGCTTGCTTCTGAACGGATATACTGTAAGCTAAGCAGTTGTGTTTCAGAGTCCCTCTCATGTCTTTGACTTACCGCTAGCAGAATCTGATTTTTCTCCTGAGGCCCTTCCAGAAAACCTAGATCAATCAGGTCCTCTTGACAACCACCCCTTATTTCATGCTTGCTTGGATGGTCCTCCCTCCCTCCTCTTGGTCTGACCACCCATAAATCAAGCAGCACTC